AACCAGTCCTCTTCGAAGAAAGTATAAAAGTCCACTTTCATAGGGATAATGCATGCAGCATTTAATAAACCACTGCTTGTTACGCAGGCCTCCTATATGGGAGCACTGCTTTGAGTTGCAGCTTCTCCACTTCTAACCCAGCTACCTGTGAATGCGCCTGGGAGTGGAAGTGCTTTCCCAGGCCACAGTGCTTTGGGCCAGTAGAAGATGGGTCCTTGGGTCCTTGCCAGCCACTTGGAGACTCGGAAGAAGCTCCTGACTCCCGGCTTTGGATCAGCTCAGCTCTGGCCATTGTGGTCACTTGGGGAGTGAACCAGCAGATGGAAGATCTTTCTCTCTGTCTTTCCTTCTGTGTGTAAATTTGCCTTTCTGATTAAAACAAAAAAGTTTTGAGAGAGCGAGAGAGAGATCTTCCATCTGCTGGTTCACTCTTCAAATAGCTATAGTGGCCAAGGTTGGGCCAGCTTAAGTCAGGAGCCAAGAGCTTCATCTGTAGACAATAGTGTGAGCCCCTAGCAAACTTCCTTATGTGCATTATAATACATAAAATGAAAATGTCATCTACATACTGTTTGATAAGTTGCTTAATTTCTCTTGAGTTTCACTTTGCTGATTTACAAAATGGGATTTAAAAAAAAAAAAAAAAACACCTACCTTTGAGTTCTTACAGGGGTAAAGGCCTTAACTTAGCACAATGCTTGACGCCTCAGTAAGCACTAAGAATTTGTTCTTATTACCATCCACCCACACCGGGTAGTTTCATAGAAGCTGTCACTTTCTTCCTAAAAGAGATATGCTCCAATTGTATCACAGCACCTAGTGTGGCCTGGGATCTTCTGACCAGCTGATATTAGCTTAAGAACGAGAGCTCTCGGAGGTTAACAGAAATTCACGTTCAAGGCTGATCATTCAGGATTTTCTTTTCCCTTCTTCAGCCATGAGCTGTACTGAATTAGCGTCCCTAGAGGAGCCAAGGACTTCCGAGCACCCTCCCATTTGCTCATTCACGTCGGCCCTGCTTTCTTGCTCAGAACAGCCTGCGGTCCTCCGGAGACAGTAACTGCCCCAGGCTTGCAGATTCTGAAGACCCACTTCCCACACCCAGCTTCCCCACTGGTTCAGGTGCACTTCCACCTGCTCTGTGCCTGGGAATCCAGCACCCAGGATGCAGTCCCATCAACTCGGGGATCTTCTAGAAGAAACTCTCAGATACGTCTTCTCGCTCAGGCTACCCTGGTTCTGTGCATCATTGCCCCCCTTTCCTTAGTCAGACAGGAACAAAAGCCTCAGGTCAAAAACCTAAGGTGAGCCCGTGCCCTCGGCAGCAAAGGAGGCATCCGCGGGAAGTAGGAGGTAGGCGCTGCATCTTGGGTGCCCAGTCCTTGGCTCACTGCAGGCTTCCAGTCAGAAAGCACCCATCTGAACGTGCGCCCGGTGGCCTCACAGGGCCTGCCTCAGGTGGCGGCATGCTTCTCTCTGAGGCTGCGGGCTTTGCTGCTGCCTGGATGCTGTACTTTTCCCTGCTGGCTTTCCAGTGGGGGATGTGGCTCAGGACTCAGACTGCACCTGCTGTCCTCTCCCCCGCCCAAGCCCAATCTCAAGGTCTTTTCCCTTGACTAAGGTGAGCCGAGTCACCTTGGCATGGGTCCCCAGAAATCTTCGATCATTTATTTAGCCCCACGTCAGTAACAAGGCCAAAGGGGTTCAATGACACCTCTCTAGCTCAAGGACATGACCAGAACATGAATAGTTTCAACTTCAACAATCGCCTCTTGATCATGAAAGTGCTGATGGATTAAGAGGCACTTTATTAAGTGCCTCTGAAGAGCAAATACTGAAGGCCTGCAAGCAGCTCAGAGTTGGCAAAGCTACACCGGCTATTGGCACTGGGGCTTACACAACACACACACATAAACCTGTGCTTATCTCTTCCTCAGGATACACTTGACTCTCTTCCTGCTGCTGTTCCTGCAACAAAAGAAATTTCTACTTTTCAAGTCTCCCTCACATGACGCACAGACAAGGTGCAAGCAGCAAAAACTTAGCAGCTAACTAAAGCCTTTAGGAGAAACAGCTGTTTTTAACTGAGAGATAAGAATAATTATTTGAAGATTTCTGTATTTGAGAGTCAGAGCGACAGCAGCAGAGAGAGATGGAGAGAAATTGATTTCCATCTGCTGGTTGTTACCCGCTACTACCTGCGATTGCTAGGGCTGCAGCCTGGTGGAAGGCAGGAGCCAGAAACTCCACCAGGTCTCCCACGTGAGTGACAGGAACTCAAGCGGTTGGGCCATCATCTGCTATCTCCCAGGATTAACAGGAAGCTGGATTGTAAATGGAAGCCAAACACGATCCCATGCCCAGTGGACTGGGATGAGGGCATCCCAGCAAGGGTTTAACCACCGCACCACAATGCGTGCCCTCTGATAGGCACGTTTTGCTCATTATGCACCAAATAGCTGTTCCTTGCAGGAAATTGGGCCAGATGGAAACGCAGCTCCATTCTTGGGTTTATAAATGCTACTAGGCTAAGAGCAGCAGCCCCTGGTGTGCCATCCCAGCCCCTTCCACTGGATGCCTGCACCTCGGATCCATTCTCTCCCCTGATCTCTGCAATCCGGGAAATGGAGGTGCCGTTTTTACTGAAAGGCGCGATGCGGCTGGAGTGATAACACTGACTGGGTGTGCCACAAAGCCCCCCTCCACTCTGGTTTCCTCCATCTCTAAGATGGGACTCCTGACAGCACCCACTGCAGGGGGTGGGTATGAGACCACACGGGGAACACCTGGGCGCAGAGCCCTGCCAAAGAGTAATCCGTGGGCGCCCACATTCACCGTTCCTTAGAGACAAGGCAAGGATTCAGCAGCAAGAGCCACTCGCCATGAAACAAGCTGCCTCCAGGTCCCAGAGGTGAGTGCCTGTTGCCCAACCCACTGAGAAGCCAGAGAAATAGGAAAGCAACAAAATAGTTCCTGCCATGGGTTTCAGTGACATCAGGGATCGCCCTCTTGCCCCTAAAAAGGATAACATCATGCGCCGGGCCCAGTCAGAAATGAAAATGCAAGGTATGTCTTATTCAACAATTGCTAAAAAGTTGCCAGGTAGCGAAAGGGAGCCTTAAAGCAAATCGGAAACCCTCGGCACAGGGCAATATGGGGCCCTATGCAAATACCCCATCAGACCGACCCCTTCCACGGCCAAGTTGGCAGTTCTCGGTCCAGTCCAAAGCTTCCTGACTCAAGAAGTTCTAGATGAATGCACCGCAACTCTTCCCCGGAGGGAACCCATAAAACTATGAAGTGAGTGGCAGTGAGAACCAAAAACAGGACCTACAACAAGTGACAGCAAACAGGACTGTTATTCCTCCATCTCCCCTAAAAGTTCTCCAGGAACATTAGCTGCAAGATTTTCATTCTCAACCCGCTAACGTCCTTCCCATTTTTTTTTTCCAACGTAAAAAGCAGACAGAGCTCTCAGTGAGTGGTTTCTATCACAGTCTGCAGGAAGGAGACAATTCAACTATGTCTGAGAAGCCAGGACTTGGTTCTGGTCCTCCCATAAGTCTCGCGTGAACAGGAAGCTGGTCCCCAAGTGCGCCTTAACGAGGAGGCTCCAGCCCGGTGCCTTGCTCGGTATTTCTACTCAACGTTTGCCAAGCTGGGCAGCCATGCCACAGACGCTGACAAATCTGAACGGCTCATCTACAAGACGCCTTAGCTGAGATGAGGTTGCTCAGGGAGCGAGCAGAGAATTCCCTCGGAGCCACGCCATGCCAAGTGACAGACCGGGAATGAAATCAGCAGGTGAATCATCGTGGCTGAGGCATGTCTCCTCATCACTTTAACTTATATTCAATAGCGGCCTTGCCGTCTAATGAAGAACTGCCTTTTCTTCTATCTGGGATTCCCTGTCAAGTACATGGCCAAATCAGAACACCTAAGGCAGATGGGAAGTGCACGCCTCAAGCTGGGGGACACTGCCCAGGCCAGAGAAGACCAATGCGCCTTCTAAAACGGCTTGGTGACTGGGGGCCCACATCACTCTGTGCGGGAGCTGTCCTGTGCACTGCAAGATGCAGAGTGGCATCTCCGGCCTTTACCCACCACATGCCAGTAGCACCCACTCACCACTTGCCTCAATCAAAAATGTCCCCATCTATGGGCCAAATGTTCCCGGCGTAGGGGGATAGGGAAGAAGAAAGGTAACTTCGACCAAGAACCACTGATTCAGAGACAAAAAAAAAAAAAAAAAAAAAAAAAGCAATGGGATCGCTGTAATTTACAATAGATGGGGTTTAAGGAGCCCAAGCGCCACCGTGGGTGAACCCTCAAACCCGGACTGCGCCGACTCCCCACACACACTGGGGAGTTTGTTAAAACGCCAGCTTCCCTGCCCCCACCCCAGTCCTCCGATGTGCCCCCCATCAACACTAAAATCCTCAATTCTACAGATGCAAAGTGGGTCCCGGAAGGAAAACTCCTGGCCCAAGGTCACAAGCTCGAGTTAGAACCCAGGCTTGAAAACCAACCCAGCCCTTCCCGTCAAACGCCGAAGGAGGGTGAGTGGATGGGGTAAGGGTGTGTGCGTGGGGGGGGGGGGGAGTTGTGTCGTTTTTCCGCCTTGGGAGGCAATGGAGCTTTAATAACGATGGAGACGGTGCTTTAGCTGACTGGCCTGGGTTATAAACACCCCCCCACACACACACACACCCCTCCCATTTAATCTTATTAGAGGGAGGCGGGGTCGGGAGCCTCAGTTTCCTTCCCTCTCTGTAAGGCAGAATGGTAACACCAGCTCCCACCGCAGCGCTCTTCCAAAGGTTGGGAGGAACGATGGTCCAATAAGCCCCCTCGACGCAGGGCCTGGCAAACAGCAAGCACTCGAGCACCGCAAAGCTGAGGCCATCCGCACCGTCCCCTGGGAGGATGGCGGGGAAGGGAAAAAGCAGAGGCTCAGGAAAGCGAGACGACCACCCCAAGCCCCCTGCCCCGTTCCTCACCTGGCCCCGCAGCTCCTTCTCCAGCTGCCGGTAATCGTTGTTCCAGACCAGGAGATGGAGGGGGAAGTGGTCGCTGGCGTCTCTGGACGAGGACATGGCGAGGAGACCGAAGCCAGGCCCTGGCCGCCCACCTGTTCACAAGCCGCGGCCGCCCACCGGCGGGGTCTCCGGCGCCCGTCCGCCCAGCCCGCCCAGCCGCCAGCTAGCGAAGCAGCCAAGAAAAAAACGAGGGGGCGCGAGGTATGCGTTGTACGAGGCCGTGCGGCCTAGCTGGCTGCGTGCGGGGTGTGCGGGAGGTCCGGGATCGCGGGCCGGGTCGGGGTCGCGGCCGGACGCGCCCACCCCAGCGGCCCGCGGCGCTCCCGCCCGCGCTGACAGCTCCCGAACCGACTTCTGCGGGCCGAGCTGCCCCAAACAGGGAAGTGCCCGGAACGAACCACCGCACGCCACAGCGGGAGGGAACGCGGCCAGGCACCTTAATCGAGATCCGTTCAGGGCCATCCACTTCCAACCCCACATCGGGAAATCATAGTAGACCCCACAAAATAGAACTCAGGTTCTCTCCTTGAACCGCCGATCTTGACGTAGAAACCTCCGCCTATCCGTCCCGGGCCTCTTTTCCCTCCCTCCTCCCGGGACCGAAGATGGTTCGGTCCACAACTGGGCCTCTTCCATTGGCTCTGCAGTAGGGGGTGACTACTGGGACCCAGACCAAACCATTCCGGCTACTGACTCCCTTTCAGCCTTTTTGGACCCGGGCAGATCCTTCCCACTGTTCGTCAGAAGCCATTTTAGAAGCGGGCAACACGGCATAATTTTAACTGACAACCCTGGAGGGAGGGGCTTCGAATATTTGCTGAAGAAGAGGACGGTTCTCGTTTAGGGTTTGTCCACCTCGGCACATTTTGCGCCAGGAAAATGCTTTGTGTGGACGTTGGCCGGTGTTCTGTAGGGATGATGGGAGTATCTGTGGTCCTCTTACACCTCAGTGCCAGCAGCAGCACCCCACCAAATCTGACGTTTCCACACTAGACCAAATGTCCCCTTCCCCCGCCCTCGCCCCAAACCGCGGGAGGAGATGTAGGGGGACAGATCGCTTCCAGTGGAGAACTTCTCGGGGCTCTGTCGGAACTCCAGGGAGGGTTAGGATTCAGAGCTACCTTTGGCGTTGGTTTATGGAACGGATGAGTGTTATTGTTGAACGAGCCACTTGCCTGTGGGGTTCTGGCTGAGTACCGCAGAAACAGCTCGAGTTGACCACGGTCTGCAGCTAGGAGTTTCATCCTTGGGGGTTCTGACACCAGGCACTATGGCGATTTCCTGGACTCAGCTGGAGTCCACTTGGAATACCAGCTGTCTGCTGCAGGACCCCACGGGCTGGCACTCCTCCAGGTCAATGTACACCAGATGTCACACACACACACACACACCAGCTGTTCCAGAATTCTAGCCTAACCCTTCCTCCTCACTTTGGGGAGCCCAGAGGATTTGCAAGTTGTCAAACCATACTCAGAGCAGATCATGATAGCTCTCACGTCAGAACGGATGGGGGGGTGACCTGGTTAACCCCACATCACACACTGAGCCCAAGGGACAGATGTACCCAAGATCTCAAACAAGACATCTTCTTATTTCGGGCTTTTTTCCCCCCAGAAGCCTCATGAAACCTAATTCTTTTTTTCTTCAGCACCCCAACTTTATGGAATGTGTTTCCTAGCTCATTAGTCTGAAACTACTGTAATTTTTGCCTGCTGAGGTCTAAAAGCCAAAATGGAGAGAGAGAGAGAGAGAGAGAGAGAGAGAGAGCGAGCTCTGGGATGCTGTGCCAGGCACCTGCCCTCACGCAAGATGGCGGCTAGGGAGCGTGCCCTTTCCGGTCATATGACCTGCCAGTCGCCCAAGGGAGCCACCCCGCGCACGCGCGGTGCGCCGCGGCTGAGAGGCGCTGAGGGGAGAGGCGCCGCCGCCAGCGCCGCCGAGGGGACCCGTTAGAGCGGAAGCGCTGCCGCCGCCGTCTTGGCGCTCTCGGGGCCCCTAGTTCCCGGCAGGTGGAGGCGGGAGCCATGTCGAAGCGGCTCCGGAGCAGCGAGGTCTGCGCTGACTGCAGCGGGCCGGGTGAGTCGCCCTGGCCGGGCCCGCTCCTGTCGGCTCTCCTGGCCGAGACCCCCTACCCCGGGGCCGCCCCCTCGTGTCGGGCGTGTTCCCGCAAGCTGAGCCCCGCAACCGGCGGCTTCGGTCTCAGTGAAGGAAAAGGGGAAACCAAGGCTGGGGGTAGGGGGAGGTGGCACAGCTTTAGGGTGGCGACCGGTCTGGGGCCTGTCAGAGCCAGGCGGGCAGGGGGCCGCCGCCCTCTCGTCCTTTCCTTCCCCGTCGTCCCCTCCGTGCCGGGAGGGCCAGGGCGGCTTCTAGAACAGGAAGGGGCTTGGGCAGTGCACGGGCAGGCCCGTGACAGCAGCCGAACGCGAGCGGCGGCCCCCGGAGGCTGCAGGTGTCACCTCTCCTCGGACCCCCGCCCCGACGTGGGCGGCTCCCCCGACTTCCCTGCGTGAGACCTGCGGGACAGAGAGGCTGGGCTCGCTGCCTTCCCTGCCCCTGACATCCCGACTGCCACTCCTCGGGCTGGACGCACTCCTGCCCACCAGCGCTGCCCGCTCCAAACTTTGGGGATCCGTGCGTGAACGGCCCCTCCGGTGAAAGCCAGATTTGTGTGTGTGTGTGTGTCGGTGACCTTGGGCTGTGACTACACTTGGCCAACGTTTGATTTCCTCATTTTTCCTCTGTGGATAATTGGGAGTGGTTAGGAAAGCTCAGTGAGTATTTTTAGGATCATCTCATTTTAAGTGTTTTTTTTTTTTTCTTTCTCCTTCTTTGGCTAATTTCACGCAGAGGCCTCATGGTCTCCTAAACTTGGATCGAATTTCCAAATCCATACATTAATTATGGCAACAGAAAAATCACTGGCAGTAGAGGTATAGGGGGGCGTTGGAGTGCCCGAAAACATGATCCTCACTTTTGCAAAAACAGATCTGCTGTAGCAATGGGCAGTCCTCTGGATGGAGTATTGCACGCGTTGATCAACTTTTGAGTGCAGTAATGCGGAGGAAGAGAGCTTCTTGGGCAGCCTGATTATAACAACAAATAATCCAACAAATAATCAGGATTAAATCATGCAGCGCTCTGCTCCGATCTTCACGTTGCCGCTTGGAAGCAGAGACTGATTTTAAATAGCAAAAGCTGTGATAACTGGAACCTCATGTGGTTACCTCGCCGCCTGCCTGTGTGTGCAGGTGGTGGCAGCCGTTTCCTCTGACGGCAGACAGAGCAGGGGCTTGGAGGAGTGTTTGCAAAGAGGTGTTTTGTCAACTGAGTGAGTGTGGCTTGTACAGACTCCATTGTTTCATCTAAAAAATCGTTGCGTGTTCCACTTCCTTATTTTCTTGGCTGTTTTCGGTTGATATGTTTGATTCACGTGTGTTCTGGCTTCAGACTTCTCTTGGGTTAGGAGCTACTCACTCCTTACCTGATGCTCCTGGGCACAGGACAGTAGCTTCTGGTGGGCCTCCTTACACACTGTCTTGTGGCTTTGCAGCGTTTGTGCATCTCAGAGCAGGCTCTCTTCCATCCTCTTGTTTTTAGCTGTTGTCTGAGTGCCTGATCTGCAGAGGCTTGAGTCACTTCCTTCCTGTTTTGAATATAATTAGGCTATCTTGAAAAGCTCTGTGAACAGGAACAGCTAGGGATCAGCGCTGCATTGCTTATTATTGTTGCAAAGTCCTAGTCACAGAGTGGACCTGTGTGAGGGCCAGGGATGCCTTTGAGATTCTGGCAAACACAGATGCTCCCTGCTGCCTCAGGGTGGGCTCGCGCACAGCCTGCAGAAACTCAGCATACGCTGTTTTGAAGTCCATCAGCCACGTCCACAGAGCCTGGGTGAAGAAACCTTGAGAAAACGCATCCTGCTACAGGGCTTTGCCCAGCCTCTTCGGCTGTCTCAGTTCTGACTCTCTGACTTTCCATTGGGCTCTGAACCACAAAGTTAACGTGATTAATCAAGAATCTTGCTTAACATACGGCCTTTTTCTTGTGTAGTTTTCTGCGAGAGCCTGGTGAACCCTCTGAATCCTGCGTGTGAGCACCAGCGCTGTACATCAGCGCTCGGTGTGGGTCATCAGTAATAGTCCCTGCCCACGGTGACGTGATGGTCTGCTTCCTTCGTCTTGATGAGGCCAATCTTTGCTTCTTCATATACTGGTACTGATGGAGTTCCCCTTCTTTGAATTGTTTCTCTTTCTCTTTTTTGATTTCATGGCAAAAATTTAGCCATGATGACGTTGTGTTAAGTATTTTAGTTTTTGTTAAAATAAATCTAGTTCAGGCCTAACATGGTAGCCTGGTGGCTAAAGTCTTCATCTTGCACGTACTGAGAGCCCCTATGGGTGCTGGTTTGTGTCCCGGCGGTCCCACTTGCCATGCATTGCCCCGCTTTTGTGGCCTGGGAAAGCAGAGGTTTGGGACCCTGCACTGGCATGGGAGACCCGGAAGAAACTCCTGGCTCCTGGCTTCGGATTGGCTCAGCTCTGGCCATCATTATTTATATAAGTAAATAAATCTTAAAAAAATAAGTCTGGTTTATGATAAATGTATAGTACTGAGTTCAGTTCCCTGAAAATGCCACTAAGATTTTGTTTTTATTTATTTATTTAAGATTTATTTATTTTTATTGCAAAGTCAGATATACAGAGAGGAGGAGAGACAGACAGGAAGATCTTCTGTCCGATGACTCACTCCCCAAGTGGTCGCAACGGCCAGAGTTGCAATGAGCCGAAGCCAGGACCCTGGAGCCTCTTCCGGGTCTCCCACACGGCTGCAGGGTCCCAAGGCTTTGGGCCGTCCTCGACTGCTTTCCCAGGCCACAAACAAGTAGCTAAATGCAAAGAGGGGCCGCCAGGATTATAACTGGCGCCCATATGGGATCTCGGTGCATTCAAGGCGAGGACTTCAGCTGCTAGGCTATTGTGCCTGACCCTGATTTATTTATATTTTATTGATAAATCAGATTTACAGAAAAGGAGAGATGGAAAGAGCGAGCTTCCATCCACTGGTTCCCTCCCCAAGTGGCTGCAACAGCCAAAGCTGAGCTGATCCAAAGCCAGAAGCCAGGAGCTTTTTCTGGGTCTCCTACGCGGGTTCAGGGTCCCAAGACTTTGGACCATCCTTATTGCTTTCCAGGCCAAAAACAGGGAACTGCATCAAAAGTAGAATAGCCTTGACAAGAACTGGTTCCCACATGGGATGCCAGTGCCTGCAGGAAGAGGATTAGTCAGTTGAACCATCGCACACCCAGCATCACCGAGATTTCTATGGTACAAGGATGATGTCGGCACAACCTGTTTAGTGCTTTAGCTTGGTCAGAAACTTTTTCAAGAGATCGCGGATTTTACTGGGCTTTCAAAACTATGCATGATACTGAGGACTTTAATTTGTAAAAGATTTGTAACAGTCAACATCACTGTGTGCTTGCCGTGGGAGTGGTCCTCCGCTCTCCGTTTGTCCTCTGTCATTCCCATGTGACCCACGGTGGGGACACTCCAGGAAGAAGCTTGCCTGAGATCATTGTGCAAGTAGTTGCAGAGTTGGGGTTCAGACCGTGGGCTGCCCGTCTCCAGAGCCAACCCTCTTAACCACCAGCCTCTCTGGCTCCCAGGACTTGTCTGTGATTGAAATCATAGCTTTTCATTATATGGTTTGAAAGGACTTGAATAAACCGTAAGAAAAAAATGGTAAAGATGATGTGCATGCATTTTAGAGATTTTTGTGGACATTGAAGAATTTTCAAATATAATCCTGCGACCAGGCAGCCTGACTGGCCCCCAGTGCCACCCCATTGTGAGTGTGCTGAGGAGGGAACCTTTCGTTGGGGTTTCTGAGAGCTGGGTTTATTTACATCCCCTGTTACTCAATGTGAAGTACTCCTTATTTCAGTGCAAGCCCTATGGGATTTCAAAGGAAAGTGTCGCTTGCTCACCCAAATGCTCCTGTTTGTTTTACATCTTCACCTCCGCCCTCTGCGATGCCACTGTCTTTTTTTTTTCTTTCCTCTCCATTGCAGGGCTGATCCGGGTAGTTTGTTTCAAGTGCCCAGGGAGTGCCATAGCTCATCGCCCGGTGCTGCAGAGCACAGCAGCCGCATGGTTTCATTCGGTCACTCGCAGCCCCCTGCTTGGTGTGCTCGGTGTCTCAGTGTGGTCACTCGCAGCCCTCTGCTTGGTGTCTTGGTGTGCTGGTTTGCAGCAATGGCTTAGAACAACCGTGTTGCCACCATTTACTTCCCATGTTGCTGTGTGAATAATTCACCATCTGAGTTATATCAGTTCACTCTGGGTGCTGGGGGATTTGCCACGCTCCATCCGGACACTTGTATAGCTTCTCTTACGTTGACTGAATGAGATGGTAAAATGTTAGAGCCAAGAAGTGTGGCCCTGAGTCAGAAAGAAACTGCTTCTTCAGAACTTCCGAGTGCATTTGGTCTCAGTTGACATTCAAGCAAGGTCAGACAAGATCACCAGCTCCATAATGTTGACAAGTGTATGTGTAGACACAACAGCAAAAGTCTTACTTTTCTGAAAAACCAAATATCAGTCATCATTTGCCAGTCTGGTAGGTCAGAAACCAGCTGAGATTTCCTTCCTTTTCCAGATCCTTCCTGGGCATCCGTCAACAGGGGAACGTTCATCTGTGACGAGTGCTGCAGTGTCCATCGGAGCTTAGGGCGCCACATCTCCCAAGTGAGGCATCTGAAGCACACCCCGTGGCCCCCGACCCTGCTTCAGGTAAAACGCACCAGTCCTGTCCAGGGCTTCGGTGTAGACTTTAGGACGCGTTGCTTTAGCAACTAAAATCCCTCCTGGTCTGCTCCTTTTATCTTTTGGAAGCGGGTTGCGCCATAATTGGTAAGCGGTGCCGTGGCACCGATGTGATGTGTAACTCGTATCTGAAGGAGTTTATCATTTCCCATGGTCGCTTTCCTCCTGATGCAAGGCTTCTCCCGCTCTGTCGGTTGTGGGTGGGGATAGTCATTAAAATGTTGTGGGAATGTGTCACTGCCAAGTTCCTAAATTGTCACCAAAGATTGTTTCTAAGTGATCTTTCTGTTGATCGCACCACGATGAATGTTCCAAAAGCCACTGCCTCAGAAGCTTTTCATTAATGTACCTAGTACCTGCTGATGCCTTTTAACATTTTCTCCTTTTGGAAATTTCCGAAGCATCTGATTTAAGTTTTTAAGTTTTCTTCAAGCTCTTGTTGCTAGTCAGAGACCAAATTAATTAACTTGTTTTGATTGGATGGTTAATACTCTGTTAAGAGAGTTTTTATTTGAAGTCCAGTGTCACATCACCTGTGTTTGCATTTGGGGGTATGCCTCATTTGACTTCCCTTGGAACTGAGGATTAGATATGTGCTTTGCCTTCATTTTATCTCGAGTAAATATTTTAAATATTTCTGGCAGGTATCTCTGAGATGGGTAGTTTTAAATGCCAGTTGGAACTCAGGGCAGGTTCAGGTCTTGCTAGAGTGTTTATTTTCATAGTTGCATTGTTCTAATGTATCTAAGAAAAGTATATCACATCAAGCCATGTATTTTTTTAAATAGGTAGTATAAATGGGTTGCAAATACATGATCAGGTTGGGGGACATTGCCCTTAAGTGTCAGAGTCCTTTTTATCATCTGTGGGAACATACACTCTGATGTGTTCAGATGCTTAGCGCTCCAGCTGGGAGGAGCTCAATCCTGCCACAAGTTCGTCTTCCTCTAAAGTTGGCAATGAAGGCAGGTGCTGTGGTGTAACAGAGTAAGCTGCCACTTGGGGACATTTGTACCCATGTTGGGGTGGCAGTTTAAGTCCCGGCTGCTCTGCTTCCCAGTCCAGCTCCCTGCTAATGCATTCTGGGAGGTAGTGGGTGATGACTCAAGTGCTTGGGCTCTTGACACCCATGTAGAAGACCTGGGCAGTGAGCCAGCAGGTGGAAAAATCTCTCTCTGTCTAAATAAATCAGTCTTTAAAATCAGAAAACAGCTATCTGAGTAACAACCCAAATATGCTGGTGTTGGTAATGGAGCCCTGTTTTCCAGCGCACTCACTGATTCCCATTGACTATCTGCTAAAAGAAATGAGAATGTGATTCCATGCTGCTTGCTTTCAGATGGTTGAAACCTTGTACAACAACGGTGCTAATTCTATATGGGAGCACTCCTTGCTGGACCCCGCCTCAATTCTGAGTGGCAGACGAAAGGCTAATCCACAGGATAAAGTACAGTGAGTAGACTGCTTCTAATGTCTTCTTAACACATGGGAACCCACCAAAAGGAACACAGCTGTTTTTAGGAGAACAGCCAAGGGTGCCCTAAGAGGCCTTTGGCCCCAACTGTGCATTGAGCCCCTTGCTGTTGCAGATGCAAAGGTGAGGGGGACCACCACTATCATCACAGCTCTTTTTCATGGTTACTTGAAAGCTGATGGTATAATCAGGCCTGCACTTGGGTACTCAAAAGATGATCAGATCAAAATCCAGGCTCTAGGCCCCAGTCTGCCAGATGCCTGCTATACAAGGGACTAAAATTGCCACTTCCTCCAACTGCTGCTAATACAGTTGAGGACATTATACAGAGGAGAAATGGGCTGTTCAAAGGAGGGATTCTGCAGACCCAGCCCAGTGTGTGATTTTTTTTTATTTTTACTTTTATTTTGAATTTTGAGTTTTATGATACAATTCTGTAGAGTCAGGAATTCGCCACTCCCCCCCAACTGATTTTCCCCACCAGTGTATTTTTCCAGGCCCAGGTCTTAACTGCTGCAGCTGGCTTCAGCATTGTTCATTTCACTGTCCATTGCGGGGTGTGGGTCACTTCCTCCTCTTACAGTACCAAGAATGATGAATGTTGCTCCTGAATGGCAAATGAACGGTTTCCTTTTTTTGCTTTCCAACCAGTCCCAATAAGGCAGAATTCATCCGAGCCAAGTATCAGATGTTAGCTTTTGTGCATCGCCTGCCGTGCCGGGACGACGACAGCGTGACCGCCAAAGACTTGAGTAAGGTGGGTCGGTGCCTTGGGATCCCTTGGAGTTATCTGGGAAAAACTTTAAAAGGAAGAGAGAAAAACAAAGAAAGCAAAGACTCATTTCTGTATTTTAAATAATTAAAAACAGTTGTTTCTTTGCAAGTTTTGTTTTTGATCGTCTTTAATTCACATGGCAAGCCATTTGTGTTTGAGGTACAAGGGTAAAGAGGAAAAACAAATGTCTGGGAAAACTGTGTTTTTTTCTGACAATTTTTAAATTATATTCCAATAAATTTTCTGTTTTCTTAACTTTGAACTCGAGCCATCTCAAAGTTTGTTTCTAGGTGGGGCTGGAAAGCCTGCAGGGTAAGTGTTTGTTTCTGTGAAGACAGTGACAGCTTGGGGAGAGGGGTAAGCTCTCCAGGTTTTAGAGCTTCAAGCAGGGTGTGACTCGGGCCCCGGCGCACAGCAGAGTGCACTGTGTCTGAGCACGTTGGTGGAGTTCTGCATGAGAGCCAGAAAGCCTTTCTAGAGGTGCTGCATGACACTCTCATCTTTGTTTCTAAGCTCTGCTCTTGACAAATGCTCCATCACCAAAGCACAATCTCTTGCAATTCAGGATTTTTTTTTTAAGATTTACTTTTATATTTTTTCATTGGAAAGGCAGATATACAGAGAGGAGAGACAGAGAGGAAGATCTTCTGTCCGATGATTCACTCCCCAAGTGAGCGCAACGGCCGGCCGATGCTATGCCGATCCGAAGCCAGGAGCCTCTTCCGGGTCTCCCACGCGGGTGCAGGGCCCCAAAGCTTTGGGCCGTCCTCGACTGCTTTCCCAGGCCACAGGCAGGGAGCTGGAGGGGAAGCGGGCTGCCGGGATAGAACTGGCGCCCATATGGGATCCCGGGCATGCAAGGCAAGGACCTTAACCACTTTCGCCACTGCACTGGGCCCGTAATTCAGGAATTTAAAATTTGCATAGGAAGGCATGTAATTAATATTAATGCTCATGAAGGCTCAAGTTGATGTGGATGTTTTGTTTTGTTTTGTTTTTTTCATGAAAGTTGAAAGACAAAGTTCTGGGTACAGTTGTTAGTTTTCTATATTCCTGTTAATGGTAAGGGTGACCATATTATGATATGGATTATTCTAGGATAAACTTGAAGGAAGGTCACTCATCTTCTGAAGACAAAAGAGCTTAAGTAGTACAGAGCGTGGTCCACCACAGGTCTGTTTTCTGGTCTGAAACACTTCAGCAAAGCATTATCTGCAGGCCAGGGATGCTGTTGATGTGCAGGTGTGCTGGAGTGCAGAGTCTTGAGGCCTGCCCAGGGGAGAGGCTGAAGCCCTCAAGCCCCAAGTTCATGACCACTGATCGTGACAGTCATGGCATCTGTGTGCTTGGAGCACTTGCTCCAGGCTGGGCTCAGCACACAGCCCTTGATAATGCTGTTGGATCCTTGCAGTTACCCTGTGTGTAGGTGGTAGTTTTCTCACCAACTTCCAGGTCAGCTTGCTTAAAGAACTGTCTCAAAGTCACACAGCTTTGAGAGGGTAGGGTTTGAAATTTAGTCTATCAGACTTGAGAGTGTTGAGCAGCCACTTCCTCACGTTTCTTCACTCGGGTTTGCCACTTGCCAGGCATTTGGACAGGTAAGCCTTCACCATCCTGGTTTCCTTAGCAGTAAGATGGGCCTGACCTCACCTTGCTGTCTGCGGGTGGCCATAACGAAGAGACCACTGGGTCCCTCTAATTGAAACAAAAATTGTGTGTTGCTAATGCGACGTGTATTAAAATGGTCTGTCAGCCATTCTTGCAGATAATCCTCAGTACTTTTAACAAATACTGTTTGTTTGTGTATTGCAGCAACTACATTCAAGTGTGAGAACAGGGAACCTGGAGACCTGTCTGAGGCTGTTGTCTTTGGGAGCCCAGGCCAACTTCCTTCATCCTGTAAGAAAATGTGAATTGATTGAGATTCGATTCAGTGAATGATTTCAGATTGACGCCAAGTGTTGTGGTGTTTGTGTTGCCGTTAGTTTATTTCATTTGCTTTTCTGTTTGTCATTTGTCTACTAACTATGACTGGTTCTTAGGAAAAAGGAAATACCCCTCTGCACGTAGCTTCCAAAGCAGGGCAGATTCTACAGGCTGAGTTACTGGCAGTATACGGAGCAGACCCTGGCACACAAGATTCTAATGGGAAAACGCCTGTTGATTATGCCAGGTAAGAAACAGAGATTCTTCACACTTCTCTCTGAGAGATTTGTATGTGAGTGTGATTTGTTGCTAAGCAGCTAACCGTGCATCATCAGCATTTAATGATGTTGATAACCTCTGAAGATTCATGCCTTACTACTTTGTAGAAGACATTTCTTTTTTTTTTTTTTTTGAGTGTTGAACATTTTATTTGAAGAGTTTAATGTGTAAAAAAAAAAGTACACAAATACAGATTACATCATGGTAACTATAGCAGTACTACATGAAAAAAATCAAAACAAGTTTATAAAGTCAACATACCGGCACTGAACAAGCCTGAGACTTAACAACCAATCCAGGCTGCATATGCGTAAATGATCCGGTTACATGCTTATGTTAAATAGGTTTTCTCTTGGAACACCAAAATTACAATTCAAGCATTCTGACTGTCCACTGCCTTATTTCCCTGGTGAGTATTCTGAGAAAATTTCTCAATAATGTTAAACACAAACAAACAAACAAAAAAAATTGCATGGCACTTAAAAACTGGAAAACAAAACAAAATAAAACAAAAAACACAATTAAGAATACATTTGTAATGCAATTCTATATAAAATATACAATACATCTTAGTTAAAAACAAGATTTAAAAACAAAAGACCTCTCTGAATAATGGTTAAAATTTTGTAGAAAAATGCTTATCATTTATACATAATTGGTAGAAAACTAATAGGATCTTTTTGGGGGATGGGCAGGAGAGGGAGACACTTAAAGAATTTACTTAAAATCCTAAGTTAAAGAATTTACTCAAAATTGGTTAAAACTTGTACCTGGGCTTATAATTCATGCTCATTTTTCAAAATGTCCTATCATAAATACTCTTTAAAATTTAATTGCAGGATTTAAAAAACAAAACAAAATAAAACAAAAACCAAAAAGCAACCTACAATCGGGTCCAAGGGTCAAACAGAATTCAAAAGTAGGCCCGATAACGTAATAAGGTCCTTTGAAAATTTGTGGAAAATGTAGAAGACATTTCAAAGGTAGCTAAGCTTAGCCTGGAAAGGGGTGGACTCGTAAAGCAGTGTGCTTAGCTTCTAGTCCTCTACTTTATCATTCATAACTAGCATGTGATCTGTGTTCTGAGTCCAGGTCAGGTGTCCAAATTACAGAAGTCATTCTCACTTCGATATTCTTCACCAATGCTTGAACGTGCTAGCCAGTCGATGGTTAGATCTGTGGTTCACAATATAGTTGGGTATAAGTGAAAGCCTTAAGTAGTGAACATCTGAATGCCCAAGGCAAGGATGACCAGGACTCATTTAGCACATCTGGAGAATGAATGAGGGAGAAGCTGAGCGCATGTGGGAATAGCAGCAGGACACTGGCCCTCAGATCCAAGGTGATGTCTAGTGTACAGTGCATCATTGTATCGTGCGGCACTAGAAAAGGCAGAAAGCTCAGCCAGTCAAAGTATCACAGCTATCATAGACCGCTCGCTGATTTCACAAGTGTTAAAAAGACAAAGGAAACAGACAGGGGTGCATCATAAAAATCAGAGGTGTCTGGGAGGCAGCAGGATGTTCTGTAGTGATGGAAGAGAAGCTGGCCTGGCCCTTGGAAGAGGGAGTCCTCAGGAGACCATCAGGATCATTTCCTTGGAATTCTCTTGCCTGCAGTTTGCACGTAGTGGCCTCTCAGTGTTGTCACTTACCTCTACATCGTATTACTAAAAGGATTCTAAGCAGAGTAAATATTTATTTCATGTATAAAGAAAGGCAAATTTGGTATTTTCTCAGTGTTAGCAGAAGCTAAAGACAGAGAGGCGCCAGTGGCTGGTGTGGGCCGTGTGCTGGGGGCCTGTCAGAGCTGTTCAAGTGGTTCGGGACTCTCATCCAGAGAATCCAGAGCCGCCTTCAGAGCGTTGAAGGGTCAGGTCTGGACAGTCTACCAAGGCATTTCAGAAAGTTCGTGGCAAAAGGAAATGAAAATATATGTTTATTTTGGTGCAAGAAATGTTTAAATCTATACATATATACCATCTCTGGAAAGTTTCTTTATTGGGTAAATCTTGTACAGTGAGTTAAACTTCTGCTTGGGATGCCTGCATCTCATATTACAATGCCAGTTTGAGTCCTGGCTACTCACGATTCCTGCACAGCTTCATGCCCATGCAGTTGGGAGGCAGCACATGATTGGTTCCTGCCACCCACATGGGAGATCCAGATGGAGTTCCTCCTGACTCCTGGTTGTGGCCTCGCCCAGCCCTGGTGTTGTGGGCGATATGGGAATGCACCCGTATATACAAGATCTTTTCTTTTCTCTGCTTCCTTCCTTATCACTCTGCTTTTCAAATAAATAAGTTCTTAAAAGCATCCTGGAGGGCCTGCCACTTGGGGAGGGAACCAGCAGATAAAAGCTCTTTCTCTCCGTCTCTCCTTCTCTGTAAATCTGACTTTCCAATAAAAATAAATAAATCTTTAAAATAATAAATAAATAGACAAATAAATTGGAGTCAGGTGTGGTAGCCTAGCAGCTAAAATCCTTGCCTTATAAACCCTGGGATCCAGTAAGGACACCGGTTCTAATCTCAGTAGCCCTGGTTCCTACCCAGCTCCCCGCTTGGGGTCTGGGAAGGCAGTAGAGGACGGCCCAAAGCCTTGGGATCCTGTACCCATGTGGGAGACCTGGAAGAGGCTCCTGGCTCCTGGCTTTGGCTCGGCACAGCTTTTTCGGTTGCGGCCTCTTTGGGAGTGAATTAACAGATAAAAGATCTTCGTCTTTGTTTCTCCTCCTCTGTGTATATCTGCCTTTACAATAGAAATAAGTAAATCTTAAAGATTTCGTTTTTTAATTTTTTTTTATTGGAAAGGCGGATATACAGAGAGGAGAGACAGAGAGGAAGATCTTCCGTCCAATGATTCACTCCCCAAGTGAGTGCAACGGCCGATGCTATACCAATCTGAAGCCAGGAGCCTCTTCCAGGTCTCCCACGCGGCTGCAGGGTCTCAAAGCTTTGGTCCGTCCTCGACTGCTTTCCTGGGCCACAGGTAGGGAGCTGGAAGGGAAGCGGGGCTGCTGGGAATAGAACCGGCGCCCATATGGGATCCCAGGCGTGCAAGGCAAGGACCTTAACCACTGCGCCACCGTGCTGGGCCCGAAATAAGTAAATCTTAAAAAAAAAATCCTAGAAAATGGACATTAGGGAAAGACTGAATTTCAAAACTTTTTTTTTTTAAGATTTATTTATTTTTATTGCAAAGTCAGATTTACAGAGAGGAGGAGAGACAGAGAGGAAGATCCTCCATCCAATGGTTCACAATGATGAGCGCAACGGTTGAAGCTGAGCCAATCCGAAACCAGGAGCCAGGAACCTCTTCTGGGTCTCCCACACACATGCAGGGTCCTAAAGCTTTGGGCCGTCCTCGACTGCTTTCCTAGGCCACAGGCAGGGAGCTGGATGGGAAGTGGGGCCACCAGGATTAGAACTGGTGACCATATGGGATCCCAGCACGTTCAAGGTGAGGACTTGAGCCGCTAGACCACCGGGCCAGGCCCACGGGCAAGAACCTTAGCCACTAGGCGACCGTGCTGGGCCCCACATGCTGTTTTTCAATTCTGTTTTTCCAATTTTTTAAAAAAGTTTTTTCCTCATCTATTTCTCAAAATACGTTAGAGAAATTTTGAAAACTTCTATGATTAACCTTTCATTTTATTGTCTTAACTCATTAACTGAAGCTATTCTTTGCCTTAAATCTTTGTGCTATTTTTCCTTGTGTATTAATTCTTGTGCTTTGTGTATTAATCCTTGTGCTTTGTACATTAATACAGGAAAGGTGTAATTCAGATAGGGAAAATAATGTATAAAAACAGAACTCAAGGTAGGGCTCAACAGTTTGCCTCACAACACAGGGCTGCCTCTGCCTCAGCTTGGATCCATGGCTAGGGTATCTCCGGAGACGCCTTTGTGCCTTCCTGTGAAAAGAGCCAGTCACCAGAAAGCCGCCTGAGTGGTACCTTGTTTTCTCTCTGTAGGCAAGGAGGGCACCACGAGCTGGCCGAACGCCTGGTGGAGATACAGTACGAGCTGACTGACAGACTAGCCTTCTATCTCTGTGGCAGGAAACCAGGTGAGTGAAAGGATACAACCTCCCCACGGCTGTCAGGAGGCTTCTGGAAAAACAAGTTGGATCGCTATCTTTTGTGACCTCTGCTTTCACGTGTCCTAGAGAAAACTTAGTCAAGTTTTCAATCTTACGTCAAACATGCATAAAGCTGGTCAACTTGAACTTCTGGTTTCTAGAACTTGATTTTTGTTCTGGAGAAGTGACTTTTTTTTTTTTTTTTTAAGAATCCAGGAGCTTTACTATACCAGAATTGAACAGGCACCATTCTTGTTGAGCAGTGCAGGATGTGAGTGGGTGAGCAAAGACCTGTAACTTGGGCCCTGATTTGAAGAATTCTGTCACTCAAGGATTAGAAAGAAAGTTGGAAAGTGAACTTTGCCGTTCACCTACTTTGTCATTTGAGATATAGAATGGGACTGAACAAAATGTGGTCTGTGGACCAGATAGTGCCTATCACTCGTTTGGTAAAAAAAATTTTATTGCAAGGTAGCTGTACACACTTAAATCTTGTTGCTTTCACACAGTGCAGCAACGTGAATAAGTTGAGGGCAGGCAGCCACAAAGCCTAAAAAGTTATTATTGATTCCTCTGCAGAAAAATGTATCAAGCCCTTTTGCATAATGTCCACATTCATCCTTGGACCAAATGCCTGGAGTATCTGTCTGAGAATTCTGCAAAGGAAATCAAACTGTTGGTGCAGGTCTTCTTTCTTGTTCTCTCTTTCTTTCTGTATCTCTTTCTTTTTAAGAGTTATTTATTTGTGTTGGAAAGGCAGATATACACAGAGAAGATACAGAGAGAAAAAACTTCCACCTGCTGGTTCATTCTCCTAGTGGCTGCAACAGCCAGAGCTGAGCTGATCCGGAGCCAGGAGCTTCTTCTGAGTCTCCTGTGTGGGTGCAAGGTCCCAAGGCTTTGGGCTGTCCCCCACTGCTTTCCTAGGTGATAAGCAGGGAGCTGGAAGGGAAGTGCAGCAGCCAGGATACAAGTGCCAGGATCCTGGCACTTGCAAGGCGAGCATTTAGCCACTGAGCCATCGTGCCGGGCCTGCTCCTGTTTGTTTCATCTCAAATGCATCTTCAGCATTAGCATGAGACTTCAAACTGCCTTAACAGGTACACAGAAGCTTTCTCTTTTTGATCTGAGCAGCAGGAAGTGGGACTCCTACCAGAGAGAAAGTAGGGGGATTCCCCTGGGTTTTCTCTTCCTCTTCCTCCAGCCTTTTTCTTTCTTTCTTTTTTTCCTCTTCTGTCCCATTCCACCCCCACTGTGGTTGCAGTAGTGACAGCAAGAGCAGCACAAGCACCTGGACCTCTGGCCTAGAGCTTCAAGAGAATCCATGTTACTCTTTTCCTTGTTATTTTCTCACCGCTTGCCCAGGAGGCAGAACCCATTCTTGTTAGTTGTCTGCTAAAACAGAAATGTTAGCATATTCCACAGAGGTTACAGAGCCTCTAGAATGTCCAAACATAGTATTGAAAATGTGCAGGATAGCATCCTGCATGACTCACTGTGGAAGGAACCAGGAACATAACTGGACTTGCACAGGGAACACTATCACCAGGTGCATCCCCAAGGTGACACAAATGTCAGGGGTGTCGAACACTCTTAAGCAGCTAATAAAACTGTGTTCTAAAAAGTAAAGTGAATGTTCCTGGACAAATGGAATTACAGAAAGTTCTAACCTAGAAATGGAAGACACAGAGAAGAACCAAATAGGGATTTTAAAACTAGAAAATACAAACACTAAAATTTTAAAACTCAGTGGGTGTGCTTAATAACTGGATGAGATGACAGAAAAGGCGATAAATTGAAACTGGATCCCTGGCATGTCCACAGTGAAGCACCGGTGGGGGATGGGGGTGGAGGAGGAAAGAAAACTGAAAGTTTCAGGGACTTGAGGGAAGATACCAAAAAGTCTGACATTTGTGTTAGTGAACTGTGGGAAAGAGACGAGAAGGAGCGCAGTATAGCGAACAACTTTTTGGAGGTATACCAACAGAGATTTCTCAAGTTCCGTGAAAGATAAACTTCCAGATGCAAGAAGTTCTGTGGATCTCAAAGAAGATAGATTCAAAGACACCCACTCGCAGGACGTGTGAAAAATCAAATCACTGACAACTAAAGCATTCAGGGGAAAAAAAAAAACATGATACAGAGAAGAACAACGGAAATGAGAAGGAAAGGATGAGGAGACATTACAAGCCCCACAGCTGTTAAAGGGTCATTTAAAAATAATCTCAGGGTGGGCGTCCAGGATAACAGGTTAAGCTGCTGCTCAGGATGCCCACATCTGAGCGTGTAGGATCAGATTTCTGCCTCTGCATCCACTCTAGCTTCCTGCTAATGAGCTTGGAAAGCAGCACATAAGGGCTCAAGTACTTGAGTCCCTGCAGCCCATCTAGAAAACCTGGGTGGAATTCTTGGCTCTAGTCATTATCCCAGTCCAGCCCCAACTGTTAGGTCTTTAGGGGAATGAATCATGGGATTGAAGATGGTTTCTCTGTCTCTCTCTGTGTTGCTCAGCCTTTACATTCTGTTGAAATCCCACATTTCCAGATGGTTTCTCTGGCGAATACTTCTGTGACTTAGCAGAAGTAACAGTGCCATGTAAGTATATAACACATTGTGATTTTTAATTCACATGGTTCCCTAAATTTGTAGGAAACCCCCCTTTTATTTTAAGATTTTAAGATTTATATTATTTTTTATTATTAAGGCAGATATATAGAAAGAAGGAGATAGAGAAAGATTATCTGTCTACTGGTTCACTCCCGAAGAGCCGAGATGGGGTCTTGGCAGATGGAAGGATTTAGCCACTAGGCTATTGAGCCGGGCCTGCAGAAAACTCTTAATATTTTCAAGTATTTGAAAATGACACTATTAGACTGTTCTGTGAGTGTTCAAGAAATAATATGGGGCCTGGCGTGATGGCCTAGCCTTGAACATGCACCATGATCCCATATGGGCGCCGGTTCTAATCCCGGCAGACCTGCTTCCCATCCAGCTCCCTGCTTGTAATCTGGGAAAGCAGTCAAAGACAGTCCGAAGCCTTGGGACCCTGCACCCGCTGGGAGACCTGGAGAAAAGTTCCTGGCTCCTAGCTTCGGACCAGCGCCGTTGTGGTCACCTGGGAGTGAATCACCAGACAGAAGATCTTCCTCTCTGTTTCTCCTCCTCTCTGCATATCTGACTTTGCAATGAAAATAAATACATGTTTAGGAAAAAAAAGAAAAAAATAACATCAAGTTTTATGATTGGTTCATTCAGTTTTAGGAAATAGGAAGGGAACTCTTCTCAGTTTGTTTGATGTAGCTATCACTGTTCTGATGCCACAGTCAGTAAAAACACGGTTCTCATGAACACAGACAAACATCCTTCTCAAATGTCAGCAGCTAGAATCCTAGAGTAGATTAAAAAGAAATATGTGCCCTGGGCCTGGCACTGAGCCTAGTGGCTAAAGTCCTTGCCTTAAACATGCCGGGATCCCATATGGGCACCGGTTCAAATCCTGGAAACCCACTTCCCATCCAGCTCCCTGTTTGTGACCTGGGAAAGCAGTTGAGGATGGCCTAAAGTCTTGGATTCCTACACCCACATGGGAGACCTGGAGGAGGCTCCTGGCTCCTAGCTTCAGATTGGCTCAGCTCTGGCAGAATTGAAGTCACTTGAGGAGTGAATCAACTGGTGGAAGATCTTCCTGTCTGTCCTCCTCTCTGTATATCTGACTGTCCAATAAGAAAAGAAAAAGGAAGAAAGAAATATGTGCTCTAACCTAATAATTTCCAGATGTGCAGGGTTGATATAGTATTTGAAAATCAGTTAATATAGCTAATAGACTGAAAAAGAAAAACCGTATAATTATCATCACTTGATTCAGAAATGGCGTTCTGTCAAATTCAAGATCAGTTAAAGATCTAAATAAGGTATGCTTTCACCTTTTAAAGAGTTTCACTGAATGTTGGGGAACAATACTGGGGTGTCCACTGTTGTAGTCTACATTGCACTAGAAATCCTAACCAGTGTCACAGGCAAGATAAGTGAATAAAAATGCACAAGATGGTGCCGGAGTCCAGCTCCAGCTGAGTTCGGAGCTCGGGAAGGGTGCGTGGAGTCGGCGATAAAGAAAGACACAGACACTTGTTGCGTTTTTTCTGCCTGCTTGCTTCTTGCTTGCTCGCTTGCTTGCTTCTTTTTCAAGAAGAAGCTTTTCTTTTTATTTTCTTAGACACATCACAAACTTCTGCACAAACGTTTGATTTTTTATCTTTTACTTTAGAACTAAGACAGCATGCACAGATGTTCAATTAATTTTTACTTCATGGTCAACCAGGTGCTCTTAAAGATAATTCTGTAAGTTACTATAATCAGTTTCTTTAAAGCAAGCCGTTATTCATTCTTCAGAAGTGACCACTAGGTGACAGCCAGAACTCCAAGGCCAAGGCACAGATGGTTACCTACTAATTAGTAAAACATTCTTACTACATTTTATTTTCACAACTTTATCTATCACATAATGGGAGAAATACATCAAAAGAGAAAAAATATAAGGGTGTAAGACAAAAAGTTTCAAACATTAAATCCCCCTACAACTGCAGGCTCTACAGCCTCATAAGCAATCAAACAATAATCAAAAGTATATCTCTGTGATGTTAATAGAATCATCCTATATTTCCTCTAGTTAAAAGATTATGAAAGTGGCTAAAGCAGCTACATTTTCTATGCTCTAAAGAGTTGCAAGGACAGGTTAACCTTTAAGGTCACAGCAACTATATTTTTGCCATAGCAGTTTCAGCTCATACTCCCATCACTTCCATTAGTTTGTAAGATTCTTGTTAAGCCGTCTCCCAGAAGGTATGCTATATGTCTGGGCCCGATTTCAGGGCAATGGGTAGGCACACAATAAGGTGTCCAGAAATGGCATGGGTTTAATTGTAGGTTTAATTGTACTCCTGTGCGCAGTTAAAGGCCCACTCACCAAGACATCAATAACATTAACTCTTAAGCTCACAGTAGTTGCCAAAGCCATCTCACAGGGGCAAACAATGCCTCAATAGATTACAGAATTCTTAGTGGGGTGCTTGAGTGTCCATGCAAACAGGGGGTGAGACTGCGTCAAGGTGGTCAGAGAGAAATCGCCGGGCCCTACCAAACAGCTGGAAGCTCCCCAGGCCCTGCCAAGCAGGGAGCTGTTCTCTTCACACCTTTGTGTCATCCATACCTACTGCACGGACCCCAGCAAAATGGAAAGAAGTAAAACACTCCCCATTCAAGTGCTATTATTTCAACATAGAAGCTACAAAATCAAAAATAAAACAAACAAAAAAAGCTATAATCTTAGGAAGATTGTAGAATACGGGGTCAACAGCAAAAATTCGATAGTAATTCTATAGAATAACAATAACAATTATAAACTGGAACTAGAAATATTAGATGATTAGGTAGTAGCTATACTGAAATTTCAAAATACTGATTTAAAAAAATCAGGAAATACCTGAATAAGTAGAGAGACAAACTATGTTTATGGAGTGGAAGACTCAATAATAAAGTTGCTTGGACAAATCTTCACACAAAGTGATGGATCAAATTTCATGCATGCATGTCAGGATTTTTCGTGGATATAAACCTTCTGTTCTTACATTTTAAATAGACAAAAGAACTAGAATGTCCAAGACAGTTTTTTGCATAAAGCAGTAATGTGCAAGAGGCATATCGCCCAATTGGAAGCCTTGCTATAAATAAAGGTGGGCAGTACTTTGGAAAGAGTAACATTAAAGACAAATTACGTGGAACATTGGAACTGCATGGAAAATCCAGAAATAGACATATACAAATAGGTTTACAAAGATGCAAAAAGAATGCAAGGGAACAGGATAGTGTTTCCCACCTATGGTGTTAGAGCAACAAGACAGCCATTTACAGAAAAGTGAATTGCAGGGTAAACCTCACACCTTATACATAAACTAACTCGAAATCGTTATGAAACCTGAACTTGTCAAAACAGGAGAAAGTCTGCAATATAACTCCAACACCACAATTCATAACAGCAAATATAGACAAACTCTATTTCATCCAAATTTAAAACCTCTTCCTCTGGAAAACTGTGAGAATGAGAAGACAAGCTGCAGCCTGAGAGAAGGTATTTAGAAATCACATGTCTAATAAAACACTCATAATGTGAATATTTAAGGAACTCTTTAAAACTCAATAAGAAGAACATACCCCAATAAAAAATAGAAAAATAAAAGATATAGGTGGGGGAAAATAATAAATACTTGAGCATAAGTTTAGCATCCTTAGCTGTTAGAAAAATGCGGACTAAAACCACAGTAAGATTCCACATTATACCCATTAGAATGAATAAAATTTAAAAAAACAAAACTGGCTGCAAGTATCATCCCGGGACACCACCATTCAACTCGAACTGCTCTGTTGCTGCTGGAACTACAGAGTGAGAGAGCTGCCCTGGGACGACATCTATCAGTGCGCTGCCAGGTAGAACTCGACAGGCTCCTCCTCTGGGTTTTCCCTCGAAAACAACAGCTCATGCTCACTGAGAATCGGCTGTATTGGGATTGCATCAGTAACCTTTGTAGGAGATGGAGGCCCTGTCTGGGCTGCCGGAGACCGATACCCGCCCAGTGTCGTTCCTAGGCTCACTTATTTGAATGAGTCACTAAAGTTTAGTGTGACATTCCGCTATCCCACAGAATAACCCTGGTGGAAACTGCTCTTTCCATGAAGGTCATGGGTTCCATTAGACAGGCTAATCAGTCGGACTAGAGTGGGCATAGGTTTTCCACTTGATGATGTCTAGACTTTTTTGTACCAGAAGAAAGCAGGATATGATTATTTGCTACTGGCCAGGTCTTTGGGAATTTATAGCCAGTCTGACAGTGTTGGTACTCCCACATAACTCAGGATGACAGAAAAACACAAATAGCACATCTTTTTAAGTTTTATTTGTTTATTCTTTGAAACGCAGAATAACGGGGAGAGGGATTAAGAGATCTCCTGTCAGCTGGTTTGTTTAAACCACCTGCCCACTATAACCAGGGCTGGACCAGACTGAAGCCAGGAGCCTGGAACTCCCAGCTGGGTCTCCCGTGTGAGGACCCAAAAGCTTGAGATAGCACCTACTGCCTTCTAGGGTGCATATTAGCAGGGAAGTAGAGACTCCAACCCAGACATTCCCAGTATGGGATGCTAGCGCCCCCAAATGCTGCTGCTGCCTTTTTTTTTTTTTAAAGATCTATTTATTTTCATTGGGTTGTCAGATATACAGAGAGGAGAGACAGAGAGGAGGATCCACTGTGCAATGATTCACTGTCCCATGTGGGTGCAGGGTCCCAAGGCAGTGGGCTGTCCTCGACTGGCTTCCCAGGCCACAAGCAAGGAGTTGGATGGGAAACAGGGCCCATTGGGGATCCTGGTGGGTGCAAGACGATGACCCTAGCCATTAGGCCATCATGCCCGGCCCCCAAAAGTGTCTTAAACATTGTATCAAACACCTACCCCACTGATTGCACATCTTAGATTGAGGAAATGAATGGTGTTCCTTTACAAATCCTATTTCCATAAACAACCTGCTTTCTATTTCAGATCATAAAAATGGACAGCACTTTATCATACCTCAAATGGCAGACAGGTAAGACCATTGAAATACCAGTGTCATTTGTCACTCACTAACATCTTATCAGTTGTATAGTATGTCAGTCTATTTTGTATTACCAAAAAAAAAAAAACAACTTTTTTCTCTTTTATGTCTGTACAGTTTGGAAATAAGACGGCTGTAAGTAAACCACCTAAGAACTTATGTTTGAAGGAGCATAAGTAGCAAGCTAACTGATACCATTACTAATAATTGTTGTGGTCAGTAATGCTAGCACGGCTTTTGTAGTTGTAGTATATTGTGTTCATGGAGTAGAGTCACAGAAAGTTTCTGTATTATAAGAGATGGTACTATAAGAGGTGGATGTTCTTCCATCCACTGGTTCACTCCCCAAGTGGCCGAAATGGCAGGAGCTGAGCCATTCCGAAGCCAGGAGCCAGGACCTCTTCCAGGTCTCTCATGCTCATACAAGGACCCAAGGCTTTGGGCCGTCCTCAACTGCTTTCCCAGGCCACAGGCAGGGAGCTAAATGGGAAGTAGGGCTGTCGGAATTAGAACCGGTGCCCATATGGGATCTCAGCGCATTCAAGGCGAAGATTTTAGCCGCTAGGCTAGTACACTGGGCCCTGATTTATTTATATTTTATTGAAAAGTCAGATTGACAGAGGAGAGATGGAAAGAAAGATCTTCCATCTCACTGGTTCACTCCCCAAATGGCTGCAGTGACCAGAACTGAGCCCAACCAAAGTCAGGAGCCAGGAGCTTCTTCCAGGTCTCCCGCAAGGATGCAAGGTCCCAGGGCTTTCCCAGGCCACAAACAGGGAGCTGGATGGGAAGTGAAGCAGCCAGGACATGATCCAGCATTCTTGCATGGCGAGAATCCAGCCAGTTGCCATTATACTAGGCCCTAAATTTTGTACAATTTTCCCCTTATGAAATGTTACTTTTTTTCTTCTTCCAACTGTTAAACACTGTGAAAAGTCATTCTGGGGCCCAGTGCGATAGTGTAGGGGTTAAAGTTCTCACCTTGAACGCACTGGGATCCCATATGGGCGCTGGTTCTAATCCCGGCAGCTCCACTTCCCATCCATCTCCCTGCCTGTGGCCTGGAAATTCAGTTGAGGACAGCCCAAAGCCTTGGGACCCTGCAGCTGTGTGGGAGACCTGGAAGAAGCTCCTGGCTCCTAGCTTTGGATTGGCTCAGCTCCAGCCATTGCAGCTGCTTGAGGAGTGAGTCAGTGGACGGAAGATTTTCCTCTCTCTCTCTCTCCTCCTCTCTGTATATCTGCCTTTCCAATAAAAATAAAAAATCTAAATAAATAAATAAAGTATTTCTGAGCTCATGAACCAAGCAAAAAAATAAACCAGAGGGCCTGGTGTGACCTGCCCCCCACTGCACTGTTAGTGGAGCCCAGCAGTGCAGCATGAACCCCGAGCCCCTGCATGGCCTGTTAGGTTTGCAGACACCTGCTAGGGATCAGGACCTGCTGCTGCTGCAAATGGGTTCTCAGCGGTCCCGTTGTTTCTGTCCTTGTTTTAGTATTTTATTGTGTGGTTGGTTGTTTTTTAAAAAAGCATTGTGATTTTCCATACCCAAACCTGGAGTTTAACCTGGCAGTAGCTTTTATTGTGTCGTTGATAGGTGATTGGTGATATTTTTTTCTCTTTACCATTTTTACATACTTGTGTGGTGTTGCCAGAAGGGGTTGCTTTCACCAAACCGGGCTGTTGAATGCTCTGCACCAACTTGCCCATGGATGGAAAGTCCTGTGTTCGTCCCTTGGGGATCTTCATCTCTTACAGACTTGTTTTATTGCTTTACTTACTAGTTTTGCACGTTTTCTTAGCAGCCTGGATTTGTCTGAATTAGCAAAAGCTGCGAAGAAGAAGCTTCAGTCCGTGAGTATCTCTTTTTTTTTTTTTTTTTTTTTGCTGGTGAACTCCAGATTGTAATCAGTGTAACCTGCTGGTCCCCAGCCTCAGACCGAGTTACCTGTTGTGTCAGATGACTTTATTAGATGCCTTTAGGTGTTTTGTCAGATGAGAAGCAGACCCCTGCCTGTGCACCAGTGAAAACCAAAACACATTACCTGTAGGCTCACCATGTCCTTTGCTCTGCTCCCAGAGACCCTGATTTTCTGTCATGTTCAAAGTGGATACCGTGTGTTTGACGTCAGAAAGTTGTTCTCCTTTGAGTGTGCCCTGGTAAATGAGCAAGTGGGGTGCACTTCCTTGGGGGTGACCTCCTAGAGCCACATAGGGTGCTGGAGAGGGATGAAAGCTGCTCCCAGGATAGCAGTGAGGCTAGGGATCCACCAGGATTCTAACGCCCCTGCTTGTCCCATGCCATTCACCGGAGTTTTCCAAATGCACACTTTCAGAACAGTCATCCTGGCTCTTGCATGTGGTCGGAGTTGTCTCAGCTCTATGGGTTGCACTAGAACTGTGGTTTTTTTTTACCCTGCCCACCTCAGACTTGGTTAGGGCCCTCTGGAAACAGTTGCGTTTTGTCCAGCCCTCTTGGGGGAGGCCACACCAGGGCACTTCCTGGCCGTTTTTTTAACCAAGCCATGTTACTCCTCACAGCTGTCCGCTTGCTCTCTGGATCAGGACAAGATCCTTAACACTTACTGTAACCTGATTCTCGCCTTTCAGAGCTTGCCCTGCTGCCCATCGAATATGCGTGTGTTTACATGTTTTCTTTATGAGTTACACTCCCAGAGGCCATGAGCTGCCTCTTCTAAGGCCTAGTCATGCGTCCTATTGTGCCTGCAGTATTTGCTTTTCCCAGCGCCCCCCTTCACCACTGAGGAGCTAAATTTAGACCCCTTTTTGGTGTAGACAGTGGCTCTCCTGAAGCCCAGTGCTGGGGTTGCAGCTGCCCTGATTCTGACTCCTCACAGCAAGTCCTTTGCTAGAGCTTCATAGAATAATAAGTGTTAAAAGTCATGTGACAAGAGTCTCTTCTTGCTAGCATTTAACTGTATTATGAAATAAATGTGTTTTATGCAATGTTTGGTGTCTGTGTTCTGTATCTGCAGTTCTGTGCGTGTGTGTTTTATTGCCTTTCTTAACAAGGTCCTGTATTCAATGGCCTTCTGTATTAGCACACAGTTTTGTGTGCTTCCCTTTTACTTATAATATGTAAGGAAAATTTTGTTACAAGTATTGGAGCCCTAGGGAGAGCCCAGGTTCCCTCTGACTGTACTACATGTGCAAGGCTGGAAGTTGGCGTGAACACTGAGTATATGTCCATAGTATCTGTGCAGAGGGTGGCCATTCAGTAAATATCTGCAACAGAGGTTAGCCCAGCTCGCTTAGAAACTTAGGTCAGGCAGGTCAGGTACACTTCTCAAGCCTACCGGGTTCCTCAGCCTTCCTGGGCGTGGTGTTGTCTGCTGGCAAGGGAAGCTATGCAGCTGGGACTGCGAAGGGAACTGCTGGCGGTGGGCAAGCTGTCTGTTCCCTGCTGGCCCACATCTGAGGTCTCCCTCTCCTCTAGGTGAGCATTCTTAGCAAAACTGGTCAGTGTGCTTCCTGCAGTATGTCTCTCCTTTCCTCTCCTCCCTCGCTCTCTCCATCTGTTCTTCCCTAGCAAAATGTTGCAAGAAGTATGACAAAGATGAATGCAAGAGTAAATTGAATGAGTAAATGTCAACGTTTAATGCATTTAACTTACCTCTCTGGTCTCTTGTTGATTTGCTTTGTAACTTTACACAAGCTACTAGCTTGTAAATCTCAACATCCTTTTCTGTAAAACAGCTCAGTATTCTAAGTATTAAATGTATTGCCATGTGCACAGTGCCTGGACTGAAAGTCCTCCACCAGTGTGGCCACTGTACCTTTGAGTAATAAAGGCAATAGTGTGTTTTCCCTTAGAGGAAGAACCACAAGTCCTTAGGATTCACTTTAATTATAAATATAATGACAGTGCAACACCCTGGATTTAAACTCAGTATCGTGATACATTTCTTTCAATTCTTACTTCAAATGCATGTATTTATGCAAAAAATCGGAACTCAATCCTAATTACTAAAGTTTACATCTATCTTTTTTTCTCCTAACATGTTAAACCCTTTTTGCCATGTTCCCCTGCAGTCTCAGTAACCAGCCTCACAGTTCACCACATAGCACACTTGGGATCCGCCCGGGAGGGATGTTTCCTCAGGCAGACACTGAGAGGTGAAGAACCACAGCAGGGAATTCAGCACATTCAGCACCTGTCCTGAAAGAGCAGGGAGGCACCGAGTTAAAAGGACACAAATGTTAAGTGCACAGGGAGTGGGAACGGCCCTGGCCCTGGTAGGCTTAACCTCATCTGGGTTGGAAAAGTCCATTTTGTCCTGCCCATCCCAGTTGCTGCCATGGGGCATTTGTCTGGGTGCCGAATGTTGGGAGCTGGCACCACACAGCCCACTGGCAGTCAAGGGCTGCCACTGCAAAAGCTAACAGGCTTTTTTTTTTTTCTTCTTCTTTTTCTTTTTCTTTTTAATTGACAAAGACTCTTAGGCAGGGTCCACAACAAATTTTTTTGTGTGTGACAGCACATTGGGTTCTTCGAAATGGCAAGGATTTAGGATCATTCAGATTTTGGAGGATTCTGTGAGGCACAGAAGAGGCGAGTACAGGGTGATAGGGAAAAGTGAAGAACTAGAACGTGCTTTGAGATGATGTGCTTCTGAGCTCCTCTGGCCTGCTTGTAGCAACTACTTTAACTGTGTGTCAGAAAGTAGTGAGGCTGTTGCAGTAGGCAGATGCTTGCAGATGTCCCATGCACTTTTGAAGCATTCCTGGGGTGTTTGCTAAGCACTGGTTTGGGATGAAGCGTTGGCCATAACAGGGTGAATGAAGTCGCACTCCCCTCTCATCCTCTCAGTGTTAATCAATGTCCCTTGTGTTCCTGATATATTTTTTTTACTTTCAGCTAAGTAATCATTTGTTTGAAGAACTTGCCATGGATGTGTACGATGAAGTTGACAGGCGAGAGACTGATGCAGGTGACTTAACATGTGGCTATCTGCTAAGCTTCTGTTCTCAGTGGGCAGCGACAAACTGCCAGCCTCAGTGTCGTCCTTGCCCGGTTCCTACCGTCCTGATGACTGTGTGTGTCCACGTTGACTTTTGAGTGTGTTGGCCTCAGAGTGTGCTTTCCCAAGTGTCCCTAGTGACGCGTGAGCCGCGCCTCCCAGAGGAGCAGGTGTGATAAGATTCTGTCTCTGGCTTTTTCCTCTGGCTAGTCTGGCTTGCCACACAAAACCACAGCACTCTGGTAACCGAGACAACTGTCGTCCCCTTCCTTCCGGTCAATCCCGAGTACTCATCAACAAGAAACCAGGCAAGTGGCTCATTTACAAAGTAGCGGGAAGGGGTGGGGAATGGTGTGGGGAGCTGGTATTTCATCTTCCCAGGACAAGTAGTTTAAATTTTGTGATTGATTAGAGTGTCATATATTTTATATGCAGACAACTTCAAAATGATAGCAAAAGCTATAGGGTACAGAGACTACGAACAGGTAAACTATAAATGACTTACAAATGTGATGAACTGTTGGTGTTAATAGAGTAACCCAAAGGCATTCACAAAAATTTCTTCAGTCAAATTAACAAACTAGCAGATGCCCCAAGCTCAAAGATATGGCAAGATGAGTTGTTTCATGCTGTGGACTTCTGGAAAGCAGGGTTTTGTTTGTTTGTTTTTAAGTTTCAAAAGCCTCAAAATTCACATTCTTTTGTGAATGGTCTGATAAAAACAGGTTTGCACACTGAACTTGCACCAAACAGCTTAGGCTTCCTTCTCAAGGAGATGCTGAGTAGCTTGAGAAAGCTGTTGGAGGCTTTGTGATTCTAGTCCCTGCTTCTAAACCATTAACTTTTATCTTGAGATTGAATGAACACTATCTTCAAATTAACTTTTCACTACTACATACTAAAAAAAAAAAAAACAAACCCTATTTTTGTTCACAAAGATAGGTCACGTTAGGAATATCTCCTACATAAATGATTCTTTGCCTGTTACCCTTTGCTTTAGCTACGGCTGTGATGGACTCCAGTGTGGTTATGCTGAGAGGGCTTTGTAGGAGATGTGAATAGCTGGCCAGTTTTCTGGGACTGTGTCCGTATTGACACTAGGGAACACTTGCAATTATTTTCTCATCCTTAGGGCAGACAGAAGTTAGCTCGGTTTAATGCCCACGAGTTTGCCACATTGGTCATTGACATTCTCAGCGATGCCAAGAGGCGGCAGCAAGGTAGCCCTCTCTGCGGCTCTAAAGGTAACTGCTCACACCTCCCAGAGGTTTGTTCTCTGTCCTTCCGAACTTGTTCTGGTGTTAAATTTGATGTCCTAGGTGAGTGAAAGCAGTCTTCGCTATGGCAGCTTGCAGTCCTGTGAGCTTGGTTGGAAGTATAGTTCATGACTTGGCCTTTGCCCTATGAATTTTAAGTCCTGAAATTAACCTAGAAGTGTGACTAGGTCTTGTTAAAGAATCTAGAAAATAAACTCTTGATTAGAATTACATCTTACCTGCTGTCACTTTCCTACAAAACTCAGTTTTAAATCCTTATGATTTGCTGCTGGGTGGACATTTGGCATAGCAGTTAAGGTAGCATTTGGGACAGCCACACACCATGTTACGACGCATGGGTTCCATCACCTGCTCATCTCCTGACTCCAGCATCCGGAAGACCTGAGTGGAGTTGCTGGCTCCCAGCTTTAGTTTGGCCCAGCCTGGACTGTTGCAGACATTTGAGGGATGAAAGGATGGATGGAGCTCTTTGTCAGTCTTTTTCTTGCTCTCTCCTTGTCTTTGCCATTCAAATCAGTAAACATTTAAAAAAAAAAAAGTTGCTGTAAAGTTTAAGTCTCTACAGTAAAAATTACTGTAGGATGGCTTGTGACACAGAGGATTAAGCCACTGCTTGTGATGTTGGCAAGCCATATCTAAGTGCCCATTTGATTCCCAAATACGCCACTTCTGGTAGGGCTTCCTGCTAATGTGCTGGGAAGGCAGCAGATGTCCTGAGTACTGGGGCTCCTGCCACCCACGTGAGAGACCAGGATGAAGTTTCTGTCTTGCTTTCAGATTGGCCCAAATCTGGCTGGTGCAGGCATTGGGAGAGTGAATCAGTAGATGGAAGATCTACCTCTTTGTCTCTGTCTCTCTGCCTTTAAAATAAGTAAAAAGATAACTTTTTAAAAAGATTTATTTCTTTTTATTGGAAAGTCAGATATACAGAGAGAAGGAGAGATGGAGAGATAGATCTTCTGTCCACTGGTTCATTCCCCAGGTGGCCACAATGGCTGGAGCTGAGCCCATCAGGAACCAGGAGCTTCTTCCGAGTCTCCCATGGGGACACAGGGTCCCAAGGCCTTGGGTCATCCTCCATTGCTTTCCCAGGCCACAAGCAAGAATCTGGATGGGAACTGGAACACCTAGGATTTGAACCGGCACCCGTATGGGATCTTGGTGCATGCAAGGCAAGGACTTTAGCCACTAGGCTACTGTGCTGGGCCCCAAAAGAGAAATATTTTTTGGAAAAAAAAATCATCAAGACTGACATTGTGACAGAGTGGATAAAACCACTGCTTTTAATGCTGGCATCCCGTGTTGGTGCTGGTTCATATCCTAACTGCTCCAGATTCTTGCTAATGGCCTGGGAAAGCAGCAGAATACGGCTCAAGTGTTTGTGCCCCTGCCATTCATGTAGAAGGCCTAGATGAAATTTGTGACTCCTGACTTTGGCCTGGTCCAGCCTTGATATGATAACTTGGAGAGTGAACTGACAGGTGGAATACTTTGCCTCTTTTCTCCCTCTGAGTCTTTCAGAAATTAATGAATCTTTTTTAAAAATTTATGTAATTCAAAATGATAGGAGTGAGTGTGTTTTTCAGAGGTACCTGTGGGTCTGTTTGAGTAGTTGAGGATTCTGTCTCCATGCTAAAGAACGGAGTCCCTCCAACACCTGTTGGAATATGCTTACTTGTATTTTTCTCATTATAGAAATTGTACAGTTTTAAGGCATTTAAGCAAATACATATGATACAAATTAAATTTACAATCAACATCACATTTCCCAAAGACTAAAACCACTACCTTCTTGCCTGCTCAGGAATTTGATTTAATTGGTTCAGCCAAGAGTAAAGAAATTCTGGAAAGATTTATTAAATTTTGGTGGAAAAATAGTGACAAGAGTCACTTTCACACATAAATGTGGAATCTGCAGAACTGTCCCTGCTGTTTGAGAGGTCTGTTTAAAAGCATTTATTGGCAGGAAATCAGAGATCTCATACATCTATTATGAATGACAACAAAAACATGAAGGAAAGCTAGACCAATAGCAGAATGATCCATCACATATATGAAAAAAACATAGACCTTTTTTTTAGAGAATATTAGACTTATGTATTTATTTGAAAGGCAGAATAACAGAGGAAGAGTGACAGATTTTCTGTCTGCTGACTTATTCCCAAAATGTCTGCGACACCCAGGGTTAGACCAGGCAGAAATGAAGAGCTGAGAACTCTGTCCGGGTCTGTCCTTGTAGGTGGCAGGAGCCCAAGTATTTGAGCCAGCACCCCTGCCTCCCGGGTGCATTATTAGCAAGGACCTGGGTTGGAAGTAGGGTAAGCTAGACTTGAACCAGGCACTTGGATATGGGTTGCAGGTGCTCCAAGAGGCAGCTTAAGCTGCTGCACTGCAACATCTGTCCCCAAAATGGCTTTTTAAAAGGTTTAGTGCAATTCCAATTATATAAGGAAAAGCATTTTTGTATACATACATAGTATGTATGAGCTTACCACATGAGTGTGGATCCTCATCTATGAATTTCACATTCATCAGCTTTATTAAGCATACTAAAAACTCCAAATAAATACCCGCAGTGCTTTGAAATGAAATCTTGGATGTGCACATTCCCAGCTGAGGTTGGGCAAGCCTCCTGCCTCACTGTTTCAGCCTCATCCTGGCTGCGAGTGGCCTTTTCTTTTGTTCACTTAGTGCCGTATTGTTCACATCTTTGTTTCGCTGGTGATTCTGATTCAAAAGTGGTCCCAAGTATAGTGCTAAAGTACTGTCTGTTGTTCCTGAGAAGGCTCTGATGTGCCTTAAAGAAAAATGCACATCCAGTAAGCATCATTCAGATATAATTTCTGTTGCCGCTGGCTATCAGTTCATTGTAAGCCAACAGTGTTTATTAAATCAGATTGCTTTTAGCAGAAACACACAATTCGGTTTTGTATTGATTGGTTAAGGAAGGGTTGTGGCCAGAGGCTTACAGGAAGGTAGCGCTGTATTTTCATTCAGAGCAATGCTTTATATGGGCTAATTCAATCTTCACAGACACTTTTTTTTAAAGATTTATTTATTTTTATTACAAAGTCAGATATATGGAAAGGAGGAGAGACAGAGAGGAATATCTTCCGTCCGATGAATCACTCCCCACATGAGTGCAACGGCCGGTGCTGTGCCAATCTGAAGCCGAGAACCAGGAACCAGCAGACTCTTCTGGGTCTCCCACACGGCTGCAGGGTCCCGAGGCTTTGGGCCATCCTCAACTGCTTTCCCATGTCACAAGCAGGGAGCTGGATGAAAAGTAGAGCAGCCGGGATTAGAACCGGCACCCATATGGCATCCCCTGGCACGTTCAAGGCAAGGACTTTAGCCGCTAGACCCCAGACACTTTTTAGAACATGACTGCCAAGAATAAGAAGAAATCGTGTGTCAGAGCATTGGTTTGAGTCCTGGCTTCTCTGCTTGTGACTCACTTCCCTGCTGATGTGCCTGAGAAAGCAGTGGGAAATAACCAGGCACTTGGGTTCCTGCCACTCACATGGGAGACCAGGCTGGAGCTCCTGGCTCCTGGCTTTATCCTCACCCAGCGCTGCCTGTTGCAGCCATTCGGAGAGTGAACCAGCAGGTGAATGGCCTCCTTTACTTTCTCTTCCTCTCTGTCACTCTGCCTTTCAAATAAATAAATCTTAAAACAAAACAAAAGGCAGAACATTTAGGATGCCTTATTTGAGCTGAGGCTTTGTTCTCTGATTCCAGCCTCCTGTGGAGGCCACAGGTGATGGCTCAAGGTACCTGCCCCCCAAGTGGGAGACCAGGATGCCCAGCCCTTACTGTACAGGCATTTGAGAAATGAACCGTTGGATGGGAAAATCATTTTGTGTGTGTGTGTGTCTGTCTATCTGTCTCTCTCTCTCTCTCTGTGTCTCCCTCCTGTCTACGCTCACTCAAAGAATTTTTAAAACAATGTGTTAGGCCCTGTGGAATGGTTCCTGCCCACCCTGTGGAGTTGACTCTCATAATGACATGACTGCTTGCATGCACTGGATTCCTTTCCCTTTGACAGAAGGAAGCAAGACATTGCTAGGATTTAGGTGACTAAATGTCAGAGTTCCTGTTCTTTGAACACCTTAACAATTTGCCCTCTGTTTTGATCTGTGACAACTTTCCCTTCAGGCTTTGGAGCTATACTCTGTCAGTAGCAACTTAGGAACCTTTCCTGCTAATCTGGACCTCTTTCTTCTGAGCCAGCTCCTTGGTTTGACCACATTGGGCAGGTGCACAGGGTGCTGCTTCAGTTGCTCTGTGCAGCTGTCTGTCTGGGGATGATTTTCTTCTGTCAACCCGGCATCCATTTGGTTGTGATGTGCTGCCCTTTTTGTCCGTTTCCTTTCTGACCTCTAAATGGCTCTTGGTGGTGGTAGTTGTTTTTAAAGACTTATTTTTTTTTTATTGGAAAGTCAGATTTAGAGAGAGAAAGAGAGACAGAAAAATCTTCCATTCCCTAGTTTACTTACTAGGTGACCATAATGGTTAGAACTGAACCAATCCAAAGCCTGGAGCCAGGAGCCTCTTCCAAGTCTCCCATGTAGGAGCAGAGTCCCAAGGCTCTGGACCACCCTCTACTGCTCTCCCAGGCCGGAAGCAGGGAGCTGGAAGGGAAAGTGGAGCAACTGGGACATGAACTGGTGCTTGCAAGGGGAGGTTTTGACAGTTGAGCCATCACATTGGGCCCACGGCTCTCAGTTTCTATCCTGGTAGTTTCTTTGAAAGGAAGAAAACTGTTTTCAGCCTGAAGTAACATTCTTTGCCTCTGTTGGTAGACAGTGTGGAGCTCATACTGAAAACCATCAGCACCCAGCACAGCACTGAGAGTCCCAACAACGACCAGCCAGACTATGACAGTGTGGCCTCTGATGAAGACCCAGATGCAGACACAACCGCAAGCAGAGCAAGCCGGCAGAAGGTGAGAGGCCATGCCTCACAAAGAGGGGTGACTATCACTCTTAGAATCCTTTCTCCCACAAAATGGCCAGATGTGTCAGTCACCAAGGCTGTGGAGATCAAGTTGGGTTCACTGCTAGCTTGGGCCAAGCCAAGGTGAAGCAAGGCGAATGATTTTTGAGTATAGTTCCTTTGTCCCCAAATCATCTGCTGAAGTCATAGCCCTGCCACCTTGGTGACTTCATAAGATTTGCAAGGAGTGACCGGTATGTTTTAGTCACTCAACAAATGTTGACTGACTTCTCTGGCTAGTATGCTACTGAGCAAGGCCTCGGTGTAGAGGAGGGGTGAATGAGGGCTGAAGGTATACAGTCAGGTGCATGGTGTTTGACTCACAGCCGGGCACAGGAGAGGAGGGAGAGCGCAGTGCTGAGGAGTGTCATGTCCTTAGAATGCAGGGGCTTAGAGCCTCTGGACGTGGCAGGCCTGGGTGGCTGGGGCAGAGAGAAGGCAAAGTCAGTGCACCTGGAGAGACTGCTGGCCATGCCGGAGGACAGCCTCAAGCAGTGTGGCTCAGCTGCATCAGGAGGCACGTGACGCAAGTCTGGCCTTGTACATTGTGTCTAGTACAGAAGACTGCAGTGAGGGTAAAAGGGAAAGGATCAGAGATTACAGGGAGGGAATCCAGTTAGGACAGTCCCAAAGATATCTAAACAGATTGGCGTAAGCTGCCTTAGGGCTAGGTGAGGAGGGCCAGCTGGGAGAGATACTGTGACATCAGAATGGGCTAAGGAAGAGTGGTAGATTCTTGGGTAGCCCACCCACGACTGACTCCTCAGCACTGGCTCACAAAGGTGTGCCACAGACATTGAGGATTGATGAATAGGAAGATAGACTGTGCAAAAAGGTCTTGGCAACAAGTTGGAGGTTTGAAGTGAGAAAACAGTTAAAAGATGTGAATTTTCCAGCTCACATGACTTAGAGTTTGATGGTGCCATTGACAGGTGCGGAAAGAGGCCCCTACTCTGATTCCCTAGAAGCTACCTGGTTCACTCAGTGAAAGCCAAGGCCATTATAGGCCCCTCCATGATGGGCCCTCTCTTGAGTGATGGGCCTCCCACAGCCCACACTCTAATATCTGCTCCCCCAGCTGAGCTCTGCCTCCTGCTGGAGCATTCTTCCTGCAGACACGTGGGACTGGCTCCTGGACCCTCCGGCACTCGCTCACACTTCACCTCCTCAGAGGCTCGTCCTGCTCCCTGACTAACAAGCAGCCCACCCGCACCTTATTTCAGCTCCTCAGCCCCAACCCTAACTCTCTTACCTTTGCCCATAGCACTAATGATTTTTTTTATCGCACCATGTATAATTTTTTTATTTTTATTTTCCCTTTCATGCTGCTGATATACAAACGCCATGGAAGCAGGAGTCTGTTTTCTCATACATCCCAAGCAGTTAGAACTCTGTCTAGCACTCATTGAAAATGCTGGAATGCGTGAGTGAGCTGAAGAGTGAGCAAGTGTGGGAAAGGCAAGCAGGACAAACCTCCGTAGACAGATACCAGCTTAGATTTGTAGCCTTCTGCCCATTCAATTAGAAAACATGGAATTAAATTTTTTAAAATATTAAAGTGACCCAACTTTTAGGTTTTAGTTTCATTCAATTCAGAAACCTTGATTTGGTTTTATTAATTTTGCAACCCAGTTAGACTGACCAGAATTTGAAATTCTTTAGCTGTTAGTATTTAATGTTATCATCGTCTCAGATTGTGAACATTTTCCCCAATTTATTTTTAGAGCCTAGATTCAGATTTGTCAGATGGACCAGTCACTGTACAGGAATTTATGGAGGTCAAAAACGCTCTAGTGGCTTCTGAGGCCAAGATACAACAGCTAATGAAGGTGAATAACAACTTGAGTGACGAGCTGAGAATTATGCAGAAAAAGGTAACATGTTAATAAATGTCAGGGCGGTTGACTCTTTCCTCCCGTAGTATAAGCAAAACCCGAGGCACCATGCTTGTGGTCAGAGGGAAGATGAACAAAGTTACTGTAACAGACCCAGAAATCTTCAGGCCAACCCCTTATATCAGAGGTGACAAGTGTTTAAAATGATATAGCTTTAATGAGAAGCATACCCAGACTAAGTTCTCCCAGTCCGAGAAACCTCCTAGTCTGTGCCTTCTGGGAACCTGGTTGCCCCTCTGTGGACTAGCAGCTCCGGTTGCTGGCTCTGAGGAATTACACCCTGAGATGGGGCTGAAAGAGCCCACAATATGTTGAGCAGCTTCCAGCCCTGCCCACCCCATGCAGGGGTGCTTTCCCATCCAGCCCTGCTGTGACTTGCTGCCCACATCCCAGCTGTTTTCCACCCAGACTGCCTGCTGACTTACAGTGTCCTTGGAGCCTAGAGCAGGGCCTGTCTGCCCCAGAGCAGGTTTTCTGTCAGAAAGAGAGAATGTTTCATGTGCAACAGGAAGAGCTGCACACTTGGTTAAGAGCAGTCCCGTCTACGCAGCATTCAAGAGAATTACAACTGGATGGATATGTCCATCCCTAAAAACAGTGACTGAGAGTAGCAACCAGAGTACTGAACAGAGGGCGGGGGGCAGGTAGCTGTGTGTGTAGTTGTTTATGGGAAGGCTAAGGAAAACATGCTGGGAAATTGCCTGTGTTGTCCGGGACCTTGGAAGCTACTGCTCCCATGGTTCAGTTCTTGCCAAGGCTGAGACTGCATGCCCCTGACTGCCCCCTCCGCCCCCACCAAGCAGAAACAAAGGTTGTAATCTGTGTCTTTCTGCTGTCTGGGGTGGTGGGGGTGGAGAATCATGTTTCAGGCCCCTTTTCTAGACTTGAGGCAGGGTCTGCATCTTGGTCAGTGCTGCTTGCAAAAGGAAAGCCACAGAACTAATGGGCCCAGGCCAGGCACCTGTGCTAGCTGAGGAAGTGAGCGTTTGTGACCCTTAGCCTGGGTTGGTGAAGTGTTGAGCTCTAGACCATTTTTTGAGATTCTGAGGTCAGTGCTTCCAAGACCTAGAATGAAGGGAATATGAGTGCCTGGGGGCCAGGCAGCTTCTTGGGAAGTCTCCCGGTTTTGTGCAGGGCTGGTGAGCAGCCACAAACGGCAGGCTCCATGACCCCCCTTGCCATAACTTCCGGGAGGACTTGCACGTCCTCTGCCTTTCCTGAAATAAGTTTGACTTAATGGTTTGTCCCAGTAGTTGGACTAACAACTGTTGAGATGACTTTTTCTGAAACATGCTAATAACTTGGCTATTGTTAATCAGCCTGCTAAGCATCACCATTTTTTATCCTCTAATTATTTTTTAACCCCTTGATGCTTCTGTCAGTATTTGATGTCACCAGAGCGAGCCTCGTATCTCTCAAAGCCCGTGCTCTGCACCACCTTAAGAACTGAGAAGTGCCGTCATTTGCCATTGCTCATTGATCATTTCTGCAATGATTAGAAATGCTTTTGATTTCTAAAACCACTGAATTACCTTCAATATCTTTAATGTTTAATTTCCTTTTATACTGCTTCCAAATGGAAATGTGTAGCCTGGTTCTTAGAAAAATCAGCACTAAATCTATCCAAAGACACCTTGCTTTATACATAGGACTAAAAGTTTTGACTATTGAAGTGTGGAACATTTGCTCATCTGAAATAACACTGGAGGGGGAAAAAAAAGCCCAGGCTGAATCTTTGAGAGACATCAACAGAGCCGGGGAAAGCTTCAGCCTTGAAGGGCTTGTCTGAAAGTGTGCAACAGAAGGCTTTTACCCAGACACACAGACAGGCAGACATGCAGGCTGACACAGCGGGCCCCTGCTGAAGCCAGTCTGTCGGTGAGAGTTCCTTGGTCTCTGGACCTGTCCCTTGTCATTTAAGACCACGGGTCCCCTTGTTAGACATTTTCATAGGCCACATGTGCTTGTCTATCCCCTGGAATGTAGGGATTTCCGGTGACTGCTTGCCACTGCAGCTGTTCCTTGTTTGGAAAACGCATTGCAGATACAGCAGCAAGCTGTCCGCCCTCAACAGCTCACTCTGCAAGGAGGCCACTGGCGGTCACAGGTCCTGCTCTGAAGGCGGCCAGGAGCTGCTCTCTCAGAGTTTTAGGCAGTATGCATATAAAGAGTGGGGAGTTGATTGATGTAGCAGAAAAGTATTGATTTCTTTGCCAAGTTAGGTAAAGTTTTATATATAGTCATACATATCTTTATGATTGACACAGTAGCATGATTTGTATCTGATCTTTCACATTTAACAGTTGCTTGGAAAAGATGCTAATTAATGAAGAGGAGCCGCTGCTATTTGGTGTGTTTTTCACCGATTGGTGCTTTCTAAGTCAAAATTGAAAGTAACTGCTAACACTGAATGGGTTTGCTGTTGACAAAGCAACAGTCTTCTGGAGCAAGCACCGTTGCTTGTGGACTTAAACCTTGACCCTGGTGGGGCAATGGTCAGATTTTACAACCTCTGTCAGAAAGTAGACAGCCGAACATCCACCACACCCAGCTTATAGAATGTCATGGACAATAAAAGGAGCACCAGAGGGCAAGGACGCATGCTGAGTGGACATACTTCCTGGTGTTTAGAGTGCCAGGTGCCAAAGAGTAGCACAGCACCCCACTGCCCCCTTAACTGTTCATCAGACCCCACAAAGCAGCCTGCGTGTGAGGAGTGGAAGGTACACGCAGGCCCTCCTGGTGACAGTCCCTACCTGAGATGGGGTAGTGCCCAGGCAGATTAGCGTGTCCAAAGCTGAACAGCACCATGGTCATGCTTTTTGAGTGACAAAGCCACTGGAGAGAGAGGCCAGATATTCCAGCCCTGGCTGAAAGACACCACATCGTCAGAGGGGAGTGAGCACGCCACGTGGAGCGCCCATGCGAAGATGCTGCCATAGTTCCCTCTGTCCTCTTGATATGTTGTTAATATAGCAGACTTAACCATGTTTGGAGGCCTCCGCTCCCCCACACACATGCTCCAAAGCTGCATTATTTGGAATATTAAAAAAATTTTGTATAATAAAAACTTATTGATCATAATTTTTCTTGTTGGCCTTTGGGAAAGCAACAGCCAGTCTGAGTTTTCGTAAGCTGAACCCCACTGTCTTTCTGCTTTGCAAAAACACTTTTGGTTATTTTTGTGCTGCTTCCATGGTGTCTGCTGTCGTTTTGGGCATTTGCAAATTGCTCAGGGCTCATTTGAAAAGCAGGTCACTTCAGTGATCTTTAAGCAATTTTAAGTTGTCGCTTGAAACAACCTTTAGAAAATAAATAGTTCAGGGTCCAGCTTGCCTACAAACACTTCCCAGCCCCACCATGACACATTTTTAAAAAGCGGTGAGACACTTAGTTTCCAGAAAATTCCAAGTAAACATTTCCACATATTTTAACTTGAATTTACCTACATGATGCAGTCAGTTGATTGCCTTTCCCTCAGTCCAGAAGAGCATTCTTGTTTGTGGTTGCTTTTGACTTTGAAGCCGGCTAGCTGCTGCTGTTCTCCTTGTTTAAAGCTGGTAGTTGTATTCATTTACCTGGTGTTTGCTTTTTCTGCTTGCTGTAGAAAAACACAGTCCCACTGCCAAACATTTCTTTCAGCTTCAAACACTGCAGAGCGAAAATTCGAACCTCAGGAAACAGGCCACCACCAATACATGTCAGGTGCAAACTGGTCCCGAATACCCAGACACTTCCAACCACTCTTCCTTAAAGCGACGTCCGTCTGCCCGAGGCAGTCGGCCCATGTCCATGTACGAGACGGGATCAGGGCAGAAACCCTATCTCCCCATGGGAGAGGCGAGCCACCCCGAGGAGAGCAGAACGAGACTGCAGCCTTTCCCAGCACACGTAAGTAACACTGCCAGTGCTTCCGCCGTTTACTCGGGACAGCCTGATGACTCTGTCCCCTTGGCCTAACCTCTAGGTCCCTGTGCCTCTGCTTCATCAGACTGAGCTCCGCAAAGGGCCCTTATATTTGCTACAGTAGTGTCCCACGGCACATGGGGTCACAGGTTGAAAGCTTCCCAATCAAGTCCTGCTCTGGCTGGGCTTCCCTCCTACCCTCCAATGCCAAATCAGTGATTCGGTTCCCAACCAGCCAGACTTGGAAGTTTTTGTATAAAGCTACCTGCCTTTCCCACTTTCCCCAACAATACAAATTGTGAAGGGCACCAGCAGAAGTGGCATCATCTTTAAGTTGGGCAGGGACGGGCCTTTTCATGACCTGCTTTAACTCCAGAATGGCAGTTTTCAGCAGCTCCCACGTGAGCAGGGCATGTCTGTGGTGGTACACAGGGCAGATGTGGAAGATTCCAGGCCTTGATAGCCTATCCACTGCCCTCATTCTACCTGCCAGGTTGGTGGCCGTATCCTCCACCCCTCCCCTTCGCTGACAAAGTGTGGCTTTGTCATAACGTAGAAACAAAATGTGAGAAATCTAAACTCATCTTCCAAGTGCTCAGTTCCAGAGATTGTGTTCTGTGACAGGGTTCTAATAATCTTACATTATAGTGGGACAAATATATATTCTGAGATGTTCAAGTATTTTATTGGATTAATTTATTATGCAAATTCTGTCTTGACAGAGTGTTCCATTACAAACCTTATGTGATTTTTTTTTTTCAGAAAGTAGTATTTTTTTTTGGCATTAAACGTTCTTGTTTGTTAAATTCATGTTGTGTAGCAGTTTCAGAACGTCAGGGTAAATGTAAAGTGAAAGGATTTCACATTAAACCCTGGTGTAATGTTTGTCCAGCTTTAACATGATATAGTTAGTGTTAGATTGTGACTGGAAATCCATTATTTTAGATTCTCTTTAAATTGATTGTGTTGAACGTTTTAAGGTAATTCAGTTGATAACATTTGTTGTGATGGAAATGCCGTTTAATGAAGAATGTTAGTTTTGTACAACTGAAAACCAAATTCAGGAAAAGCGACCTTTGTTTTCATGATGCTGTTTCTGTTTTTGAAACATGTTGTTGTGAAACGCCTCACTATAGTCCTCAATTTAAGGCGGGCATCACATGCCAACCTGTCATCGTCTGCACATTTGCTTCTCTCACATTACCACTCCCTTTGAAATACTTAGCCTCTCCATTTAAAAAGGGTTGGCAAATGTGACAGATTATTCTAGTCATTGGCTTTTCCAGAAAGTACAAGTAGCCTCATTAATCGTTATTCCTAGTCATTCCCTGAGGTGTCTCTGAGGACTGCCCCCCTGCCCAGCTTTTGGTGGTGTGGTGTGGGAGGAGTCCTTCGCCGGGTGGGTTTTTGGTTGGTTTTGTGCGTTCCCGAGTATGTTTCTCTTTCCCCTTCCAGATCGGGAGGAGTGCGCTTGTGACCTCCTCTTCGTCTCTGCCTTCCTTCCCCTCCACACTTTCCTGGTCGAGGGATGAAAGCACCCGAAGGGTTAAGTACACTGGAATGATCTGCTCTGGAGGAGGGGCAGTGGTCCTGGGCGCTTGGTGCTTGGTCCTCCTGTCCCTGCTAACTGCCCTCAGTCCTGCATGAGGCAGCACTGCCTTCCTGGTTTCTCATGCACAGCAGGCACATGGGTGCACACACACACCCATGCACACCTATCTGGAGAGGTGGCCTCGCTGTGTTTAACTCCATCTTGCTCACTTTCACATCCTAACTGACACTGCACAGATCACCCTGTAGCGTCTGTTCTGAGCATACTATCTTCTTCAACCCTAGGAAACTTAGCTGGCTGCTGGTTGAAACCTTCCATAGGACAAGTCTGTCCAGTTCAAAGCTGAGTTACTAGACTTAAGCTCCTGTGTTTAGACAACCTGAAGCTCTAAACTGTCATGCCTTTGTTTTTGAAACCTGTGTCAGATTTTATGTCAGCATCACACTTGATAAACCAAGTTGTTAGAGTCCTTGCGTCAAAACCATGTCCCCAGTGGCATTGGAGATGGCCATTAGCACAAAGCTGTTCACTTGATGGGCCAGAGGAGCCTGCTGCTATAATCCCCAACACTGACCCCTCAGCCTTCTTGTCCCTCTCCCTCTTGCCTCTTCCTTTTTCCCTTTCTCCTCTCCCTCCCTCTTTGTTTTCTCCTCTCCCCCTGCCTCTTTCCATCTCTCCCTCTCATCTTCTCTTTTCCTTTCTCTCCTTTTCTGTCCCCTTATGATCTTAATTATTTGAAAAGCAGAGTACCAGAGAGAGAGTTCTTCCAACTTCTGATTCACTTCCCAATTGGCTGCAGTGGCCCAGCTTGGGCCAGACCAAAGCCAGGAGCCAGGAACTCCTTCCTGATCTCCCACATGGGAAGCAGAAGCCTAAGTCATTGGACCATTATCTGATGCCATCCCAAGCATGCTAGTCAAAAGCTGGATCAGAAGCAGAGCAACAAGGCCTTGAACCAGCACTCTGACAGGGAATACCAGCTTTGCAGGTAGCATTTTAACGTGCTATTCCACGAGGCTGACCCTCAGGTCACATTCTGAATGTAATGTGTGTGATTCAGATTAGTCAGGCAGCAAATACTCATTCAGCACCTCCTTTCATCCCCAGCCCTTGGTAAGTCTGTTGAGGATCTTAAGATTTTGAGTGACATAGCCCCTGCTCAAAATCACCATCAATAAAAAAGTTTTTTTTTTTTTAACAAAGAACATATGACTGCCACTTGCAAAAGCCATGATAGTGCACAGGCTCGGAAGACCTGCCTGCCTCCAGATTCTGCCTCCATCTGTGTTGTCCTGGCAGGATGGCATAGCTCAGAAGGGTGGTGGCTGTGTGACTTTGCACAAGGCCCTGGTTTCTTTTTCCTACCACCTCCTCCGCCCCATCACCACCAGGCATGATGGAGATGCCTTCTCTCTACTGCCATTGGTGTGTGGTTCAGCACAGCTCATAGGGGATTCTATCCAGGGCTTTTGAAATAGTCTGAAGGTGACGTCTTGATGTGTGCCGCTTAGAGCCTTCTGGATAGCTGTGAACTTGAAGGATGGTGTTTCCTTTGTCGATTCCAGTTCAAATAGAGGACAGTCAGATAGTCAGGAAATACCTCATTTGAAATACAGTAAGAGTAGTAGTAAATAGCTTTGAAACTCATTGCAAGGACTGCTTGCTGAGACAAAGCTTGGTACGAAATTCACAGCCATTGAAACTGTTCATCACACTGGTTTCCTGACAGCTTTGTCACAGGCTTAGATTTTCACAGTTTATCTGTATTCAGAGAAAGCTGCAAATGTGTTAAATGAACCAGCACCAGCTATAAGGTCACTTTCCTGTTAACAGCTGTGGGAGGCAGCACTTTTAACCAATAGCTCTTGGCTCTGCATGTTTGCATTTTGCTGAGATTAAACGCTGGCTGCCTTGAAATCCTGGGTATAGGCTTTGCTGCAGCGGTGGAGGACCCCACGTGGAAGTAACTGATTTCTGGGGCAGTGGGTTCTTAAGAAACATTTCCTGAGCACTTTTACTTGGCATCTGAGTTGTTACTCTTCAGAAATGCTTTTTAAGTGCTTTTGATCACTATGGGTAATGCTTTTGATTCATAAATGATCAAATTTACATCAAGGAGACAAAAAGACTAATTGTTAAGATGTGGAGTTTCCTGAGTTTAATTCTGTTTTTTAGATTTCTTTTTCCTCTGAAGCAACCCTGGATGAATTTTCCCGTATAATTATTTAAATGCAAAGGTTTTTTTTACATTCCGTTTCTATCTATGCATGTGTGTATGTATATACAAGGAAAATAAATTTAAAAATCAGTCAAGTGTTCCCTGTGAAAGGTAAGAATTATTTGGGGGAATAAGGGTTGGTTCTCTAAGGTCAGAGGGAAGACCGTGGTTTGACTAGTCATTCTTTCACTGGAGATGGTAGCCTCCCTTGATCTTGTATTTGGACTTAACAGCGGCCAGTAACTCACTGATCATTCACAAAGTCAGATCAAAAGCAGACGACTGAAGCAGGACTACCTATCAGTAGTTAGAATAGCAAAGGGATCTCAGAAGTACGCACCAAATTTTAGACTTCCACATGGCTCTAAGCCAGTGCTGTAATCATCGTCTCGATGCATCTGAGGGGCTAAACTAAGAGCTTGCTGAATTGTAGGATCCCAAAACAAAGTGTCCTGTGTTAGAGTAGCCAGGGACTGAAGAGAACGTCTTAGGGAAGTGTGACAGACCCCAACAGGTGGAGGAAGCAGACTGAGTGAGAAGGGCAGCACCCCCAGCTCACCCAGAGGGTCCAGCAGTATTTCAGTGGGGTGCAAGTGATTTGACTTTAAGGAGGCTCTCTTCAACTGACTTAATTCTAAAGTAGTCTTTTCTTTTGGATAACACTACAGGGTTCACATACAGTTCCATAAGACCTTTGTTTTCAGCTGCATGCGTAACATTGCATTTCAGCATCAATAAAACTCTTCAGTCATATGATTTCATGAATTTGGATGAAATTCAGGATAAAAAGCTAGAAATAGCTCCATACTTGAATTTTGTGAGGTAGTCTGATTCTGGAAGAAGGAATTATCAAACATAAGTAAATAACTGAGACAAGAGAATTTTCTCCAGACTTTTCCAGAGTTAACATAGTTAAAGGAATGTGGTTCCCCCCCTCAGATTCTAGAACCCAGGAAGGCCCTGTATATAGCAGGGCTGCCAATTGCTCAAAACATTTTTGACATTCATCTTTTGAGGCTGCATCCCAGGTTTGAAGTTATTCTAACGGATATTTTTGGAAACAGATGGAAGTGATTTGAAACCAAGTGTCGCATTGGATTAATTGCTTTGGTTCATGAACAACATGAATTAGTAACAGTAATTTTCCTGTGTGATTCATGAACTGCCATTTCAGCTTGGAGAGCCACCAGTGTTTTGAGCGATGATTGTCCTCAGCCTCAGGAATGAGATAATAGAGCTATCAGGGCACAAGAGACCCGTTTGTCGACTTGGCCTTGAGTGGGTCACTCAGCCATTTTGGCCCTTCGTGTTTTTTTTGTTTTTTTTTTTTTTTCCATTGACCTCTAGCATTGAAGGTCTGTAGCATCTGCAGCCAGTGTGTTTGCTTTTTAACTGGCCCTCACCATGCTGTGAACTCCATATCCCTTTAGGAATTAAATGAAGGCATGTTGCCTTGATGTCTGCGTTAGTTTCTCCTAAGAATCTGTTTATGAAGTAGCCACTGAGCTAAGAAGAAACTGGTACAAAGAGGGAAAGAAAGCATTTCTGGATCCACTGCTCATCTTTTCCTAGCTTTACAGTGAAGGGTTGGCTCCTGCCTGGAATGAGGTCTGGGTGTGGCGGCCGTGTGGCCTACCAGGTAATGATTCCCAGGGAAGACTCCCAACGAGGTTTCCTGTACTCACTCATGGGGGTGCCCCTGTTCTTTCTTGTAGGCATCCAGGCTGGAGAAACAGAACAGCACACCTGAGAGTGACTATGACAACACCCCCAACGACACAGAGCCAGATGACCTGGGGTACACCTGCAGGATGAGGGGGTGGGGCTGGGCTGGGGGAGAAATGCCAAGGCATTCGCAGCCTCCTACACCTATGCTCCCTACATTCAGACTTTTCATGCCTTGAAATGTTGAGCTTTTAGCTGCCTGCTTGTCTCACCAATACCAGTCCAAGGGCCTTTGCTCTGTTACCAGCGTGTCTGGGTCTCTGCAGTGTGCTAAATGTCACTTCATTAGGTGGCATTCTGCACTCCATATTCCATGGAATTGTCTCAAGTAAGGATGGCTTTATCAGTCCATACCCATCCTTCATTCTGTCCGTAAGAATCATCGTTTCCATCCCTGGAGTGATAGAATAGAACAGCCTGTGGGGGAGCTATAACTGCCCCTTGATGAGACCACCTTACTACACAGGGTGAAGGAAGCCACAGACACAGCCCTCTGCTGCATTCAGCCACTTCCTTAATGTTTCCAGGTCAAGCCACAAGGGAAGGCAAAGGAGTATGTTGTGGCCCAGTGACAGCTCAGGAGCAGACACAGCAGAGCCCCATGCAGCCCCAAGCCCTAGCCTTCCCAGCACGGAGGACGTCATACGGAAGACTGAACAGATTACCAAAAACATACAAGAGCTCTTGAGAGCTGCCCAAGAAAATAAGCATGACAGGTAAGAGGGTCGAAAACCTACTGACTCTGAAGAGATTGTTGCCAGCACACTGCTTTCCAGGTGGTTGAAAACTTCAGGTTCATGTAACAGATGGTAGAACAGATGTGTAAGGCTTGTTTGATTTGTTTAATGTGGTGTTTGGTTTTTTTCATTGTATTATGAAACAGTATTTCTCTAGAAATAAAATTGAAGTAAATTTAGGGAAGTGACAGGCATAGTTCAAGCTAGAGTGGCTAGAACTTGCATAACCGATGTGGTTTGTACACATTCTCACAACTTGCAGCGGTTTCTTATTTTTTATTTATTTGAGAAGTAGAAACAGAGAGCTCGTCCCATCTGCTAGTTCATTCTCCAAAGGCCTATAAGAGCCAAGGCTTGGTCAGGCTGAATTAGGAGCTGAAAATACAGTCCAGTTCTCCTATGTTGGGTGGCAAGGACACAAGTACTTGAGCCATCACAACTGTTTCCCAGGGAACTGGCAGCCAGAGCCAGGCATCAGTCCCAAGTCCTACAAGGTGGTCGTGCATCCTACCCAGTACCTTCACCATTAGGCTCAGTGCCTACCCCTAGCTGATTCATGCGTCCACTCCTTCTCCTTCTCTCAGCCATCACCACAGAAAATGTTCTGAGAGATGTTCTCCACGGCTGCTTAGATGGAGTCCTGCTCTTGAGACAGTACTGAGCCCTGTCCTCCTGAGCATGAAAGCTGGGAGAGTTGGCCCGCACTCAGGGACAGCCTTATTCTTTTCATCTGGAACCTCAGTGAGAAGCTTGTCTTCATGCTGCATACCAACAGGAGGGAGAGCAGGCGCATGGAGCTACCCGCTCCTTTGCTCCATACCCTTCTTCCCCAGAAAGACATATCTGCAGCGTGTGGCTTCCCTCTGAGTGCCTGGCCCCGCTGTGCTAGCCTCCCCTCTCTGCCACTGCTGCTTTCTATGCAGCTCACCCTTGCCCCCGTGTCATTGTTTCCCACCAGGAAAGGGAGAAAATAGTCTGTGTTGATTGAAGATAAGAGTGTGTCTTCACAGAATGCTGGAGCCTGCCCCCCCACCCAGAGAAAAAGAAGAACCTGTGTCACTTCTCAGCCCCCTCCCACAGCACAGGGTGCAGTTGCCTTTCTTTTTCTGTGGGGGTCACAGACTTCCCAAGCCCCCCATGTTGTAAACACAGGCACTTTGCTCAGGGCTGCAGCCCTGGCAGCAACTTCATGTCTTGTTAAAACTGAGTGCTCCACAGCTTTCCACAGCTCGGTTCTGCCCAGGCTGACTCCTTTCCCACTGCCCTGCCATCGTCTCACCATTTATCATTGTACTTCTCTCCTCATTTCCTCCAATGCAGAAGTGCTGTGCTTGTGTTTCAGGCTGAACTAAAAATGTGCTTACATTGTGCAGCTCTGATTGCTGTCAAAAATACAGATATGTGCCCTGTGGCTACTTCTGCCTTCAAAAATTGCAGCACAGTGCTGGGTTGATTTGGAAAGTTTGTTTCTCTTTCTCTCTTTTAAGATGTACAAATCTAGCCAGTAATGTTATGCTTTGGTTTCTTTTTCTAAAACCACAAGGGAATAGTGCAGAGATTTTACTCATTAGTTCATTCTTTTTGGCTTACAGCCAGAATTGATAGAGTGGGCATTTGACCTGGCCAGTGTACAACACTGGCTAAGAACTCCTGTCTCGTATCAGAGTGCCTGGGTTGCAGTGCTGACTGTGGCGTCCTGCTAACACATACCCTCGGACATCAGATGATGTTGAAGTACTTGAGTCTCTGCCACCCACGTGCCTGTCCGCCCCTGTGTCCTGCCTGTCCTAACCCAGACCGTTGCAGATATTTGGGCAGTGAACTGGTAGATCGAACATCAGTCTCTCTGTCACCTTCGAAGAAACCAAGGTTTTTAAATGAGGTTGTAGGCATAACTCCTTCTGAGAAGTTTGTAGCTTGTTGAAGCTTGTCTGGAATAGTGCACTTTTGAGGGATGGGGTTAGGAAAACACCCTTCTCTGAGTGACAGGGAAGCCGCAGCCAGCCCTGTGCCCAGGTTTTAGGTGTGATTCCTGATTGCTGTGGGGCTAACAGTCATACCTGACGTCAAGCATCCTGGTAGACATGGTGCTCTTCTCCTCCTGGTGTCTGTGGCCAATGGGCTGCAGCTCTTTGATCTGCGTAGGTGAAGAACTGCCCATGTGCTGGCTTTTTGTTAGGCCATGGCCTCCAGTGGTGATGGCCCACTAAGGAAGGTCAGGATGCCTCACTTAAAGTAAAGTAAAGCATTTCTATGAAACAAAGCAGTCAATTGCAACTGTTTCTTAAGGTTTATTTATTTATTTATTTTTAAAGATTTATTTATTTTTATTGCAAAGTCAGATATACAGAGAGGAGGAGAGACAGAGAGGAAGATCTTCTGTCCTATGATTCACTCCCCAAGTGACCAAAATGGCCAGTGCTGCGCCGATCTGAAGCCAGGAGCCAGGAGTTTCCTCCAGGTCTCCCTTGTGGGTGCAGGATCCCAAGGCTTTGGGCTGTCCTTGACTGCTTTCCCAGGCCACAAGCCAGGAGCTGGATGGGAAGTGGAGTCTGCCAGGATTAGAACTGGCGCCCGCATGGGATCCCATTGCTTTCAAAACAAGGACTTTAGCCGCTAGGCCACCGTGCCGGGCTCTATTTATTTACTTTTAATGGAAATGGAGATTTACAGAGAAGATCCTTCACTCCCCAAGTGGCCTCAATGACCAGACCTGAGCTGATCCAAAGCCAGGAGGAGCCAGGAGCTTCACAGAGTTTGAGCCCAGCTCCTGCTCTAAGAGCTGTAGGAGGACCACAGCTATCAAAAATACAGCTGTCCTCCCCTCCAGTCTCAGGTTCCTCTTTTGAAAAGTGGGTGTACTGAAGCATTTCAGCCTCATTAGCTATTGTAACATTGTAAACTGCCCCCCCAAAGAAATGCTTCCTAAGCAGCAGCTCTTGTTGTGTCATCCTCAGAGTTTCTAGAAGGCCAAATGGCCTGGAAGAAATGAAAGGGTAGACAGAGTTCATGTGCCCATCAGTGAGCAGAGAAAGCCCGCCCTGCACAGACAGCATTCTATTACAAACAGGCAGTGCTGACTTACTGAGAAAGTAAATGAGTCCCAGCAGGCATGTGCAGCAGCCTGTGGGGGAGATTCCGACTACAACAACTCAGATGCGTTGGGGTGGAAGGGATTAACAAGTGTCCATTGACATGATGACACAGACAGCAAGGTAAGAGCTCCAGTTAACATTTTTTAAGGATTTTTTTCAAAAGTCTTTGATTTTTCACAGCTAGCCCTTTGCAAGGGAATCCTCATTTTCCTTTCTATAAACTAGGAAGACGCAACAAAATAGAGGAACAAGATGTGCCTGAGAAGGTGTGACTATCTTTTGATTCTGTTCTATGACTACCTAGTTCACGTTTATAGCTGGAGCTGTTCCTAACAGATTGAGTGAACTTTCTGGAACAACAGGCTATGGGGCGTCTGTCCAGGCTGTCTTAGTCCCCGAGTACTCACCTTGGGTTCATCTTTCTGTATTGTGAATAACCTTCCTCTATATTCCTGCAGTTATATTCCCTGCTCAGAGAGGATACATGTCGCCGTTACAGAAATGGCAGCGTTATTCCCCAAAGTAAGTCATCTGCTCACTTGGAAATCTGTCATCTTCACGTTATTGGGGTACTTCAAGAAGGTTCTGGAGAGTGGAAATAAAAGGGAATGTGTGTATTCCAAGATCTTTATAGGGACCCCTATAAACACCTTTAGGTGCACACAGAGCTTAAAAATATGCAGACAGTCCTACCTGTCAGACTTTGAAATGCCTTTGTCCAGTGTGAGTGTTCATTTTGTAAGACAGAGATGTACAAATCAAGTGGTGAAAGGGAAGATATTCATGGGGTAATTTATCCAGGACAGTTCACCATGTCAGTTTAATGTGTTTGAAAAACTTCCTCAGAATAACCCATACTACTACTGACGGCACTGTGCCCACACGACTCCCTCGTGCCAGCCTTGTGGCAGCGCGCCCTGTAGCGTGCGGGGCTTGCCATGGGGTGCCCTAAAAAGGTGCTTTACCAAATAGCCTCATGCTCTCTGTGGAGCAGCACAAGTTGTTGGCAGAAAAATGCGAATCCCTTAATTTCAGGTGCCCACCCTGTAATTCATGGCAAACGTTTTCCATTTAGAAACCCAAGTCAGACATGGTGAGGAGCTCCCTTCGCTTGCTGACCTCCAGTGCCTACCGACTGCAGGCAGAATGCAAGAAGGCCCTATCCGGGGAGCCCGGCTCGCCTACGGACATACAGCTGGTCACGCAGCAGGTCATCCAGTGTGCATACGACATCGCCAAGGCTGCCAAACAGCTGGTCACCATCACCACCAAAGAGAACACCAACTGACAGCGGAGCACTGCCCTCCTGTTTTCTAGACGTTTTGCAGTCCGATTTCAAACTTAGGGAACTCTTCAGATTTTTACAAAAAGCAAACATTTAATGATGGTTTAAAACTTTGCAAAAGAAAGCTCAGTATTATTTTTGCATGTTTTCTAACAAATTTTCAACTATTAATTTAACCCACTTGCCTTATTTGGTGCCTGTTTGCCAGTTTCAGTCTCTGGTGTTCTATTGTGTTGCCAACAGCTGTTGAGCTGAGCATACGCATCCAGGAGTGTAGTTTCCTTAACTGTGTGAACAGTGACTAAAACTTTGAGATTTCTAGAGAAAACATTTTCTTGAGAGAGCTCAATTTAAAAAAAAATTCAGCATCATCTATTCCCTACCAAGCATCGTGCAATAGTGACTTTTCCGACCTGCTGCAGAGTCTCTCACGTTTGGGGCATCTCCAAGCATGTGTGCAGAGAGAGAACTTTTGTCACTTTCTGAAAATATTGCAACAGTGTCTCGGAGGGAAACAGTGAATTGATCCATTTCTTCTCACTGTTGTATCATGTGAAATGTTATTTAATTCTCCCCCCCCCCATGATCTTCTATCTCAGGATGTCTTACTAACATCTTGAAGACCCCATGGAGTCAGATAAAGCCACTTACCTCCCACTGCATGTCTGCTTTGGTCACATTCAGGCTAGGAGCTCTTCCCATGGCCAAGTGCTTTGCCTCCCCTAGCCCCCTTAAACCAAGCGCTTTCTCCAAGACCAACCAAACGAGAAGCATCAGCCTCACAAGCCGACATTGATCTGGTACCACCCGTTGGGCTGTCCCTGTTGAGAGCTGTGGGAACCTGCCCCCAGCACTGGGCCATGCCTTTCATCCAGAGCTCAGTGAGCACTTACCACGACAACCTCCTGTATCTGCTCTGTAAGGACTTCTAAGGTAAGATGTGTGTGTGTATGGGCATCTGAGTTAGTGTCCCCTCCGTCACCTGACCAGTTCCTTGAAAACAGGACATTGCCTTTTAGGAATTGCTTGAAGAGTGCACCCTGGCTCATTGCCCAGCACTCCCAAAGATGGGAGCAGATACAGGCTGGCATCCTGGAATGTGCTGAGTTTAATTTGTCTGTGGCTGGAGTGCTGCTGTAGAGCAGCCCTTCCATCCTGACCTGACCTGAAGGAGCATGGAATATGGATGAGAAGGAGCCAGGGGTACAGCAGAAGGCTGTGCATGGGAATAACCAGGGAACCTATGCCCTTTCCCTTGTTGCTGGCACAGCAGCCCTCCAACCTCCAGTCCCATCCCATTACTGCAAAGTAATGGGGGCCTGGGCTTCCAGAGTTTTGATTTGTCAAGGAACACCAGAAATCTGGATTTGACTGGTGCCATCTCTGTGTTTATGAACATTGGCAGCCAGTTCAAAGTTCTTTGCAGAATGTATGCGAGTGAGCTGCCCGCCCCAGGCTGTCTGTCCACAGTGTTTGGCAAAGGGATGTGTACGCTGTGCCACGGGTGGGTCTCCCTGGCTACACCTCAGTGAGCCTTGTCCTCCCTTGTTCCACTGCTGTCAGTCTCCTTGTACCCTTGGCCTCAGTTCCTTAGTAGTCACTCATAACCATGAAGAAGTCAAAGTAATCACAGTTGCCTCAGTGCTTGCTCAGTAAGCCTGTGTGTTTGCAGAACTGTTTAGAAATGCCTCAATAGCTTGAGCACATGCTGTCATGCCTGAAGCACCACAGTGGTCTGTGGTTCACCCGTCAGGGGTATAGATACTTTTGTCCATTCTGCCACACTGTGAGCAGCGTGGGGAAAGAGCCCACACTTCCAAGACTCGTCCGCACGTCTGCCTGCACAGCCCTAAGTGCCGTGTTACTGTTGGATGCTTGGGCCCTGCCCCCATCAGCTCCAGCTCCGTCTCTAACCTTACCTGCACGCTTCCGTACCTGGCTGCATTTCCTGTCCAGCTCCCCACAGCAGTCCAGAGCCTGAGCCCTTGGCCTTGTCCACAGTAAATGGAGCAGCGTCTTCGTTTGAATACTCAAACTGCAGCAGAGGACATTACCTTTAGTGCCCTAAAGAATTAAGTCAGTGACCACGGGGACCAACAGAGCAAGGTCCTGTTACAGGAAAAGCATGAAAGAGTGCTCCGTTCACCCTGTAGTGCCAGAACTGCAGATACGGTGACCACACTGTGGCGGGAGAACCCTGAATCGTCCTTCGTGAGCTCTGTGCACTTCTTTGGCCTCGTCTGAGATCTGGTGTCAGCGTTCTCTGCTCCTGTTAGCAATTGCACCTTGTCACAGGAACACTTGTTCCAGTCACCTTTTGCACACTTGTGACATCTGCCTTCTGCAGTGTAGGCTTTTTGTTTTGTTTCGTTTTTTTACCCATTCTGCTCAGTTTTCCTCTTCCCCACCTGATAGGACAGAAGTGCACTTTATGAAACTGGCACTTGCTGAAGAGAAGGAAGCAGCTCTACCCACTCACTCAGTTCCTTTCACTGAAAGCATCTGCCTCTGAAACAAATAGTTCATATTTGCCAAAGAACAGTGAATTGGGCCCAAAGATCAAACACAGCCTTTCGTACAATTGGAACGACCAGTGCACAACTCAGGAGCTGTGAACACGATGCCTCAAGCGATTCCAGTTGCACAACCTAGAGGGACACTCGCACGTTTTTGTCCTCAGTAGCACCCATGAGCTCTCCGGTAATAATGGTTTCATTTCTTTCCCCTTGTTCTTACAAAAGGAAATGCTGCATAGGAAAGATGAAATGCCTTTGATTCAGATGTGTGTTACCCATGTCGTCCATCCTGTACACATTTTCCCTTTTTATCGTAATTATTGTACCCTTCCTTTTCAGTGTTGGACAATTGTTTTGGACGCTGTGCCTGCTCGTTATGCAATAAACAGGCTCTATAAATGTGCACGTATATGAGGATATGCTTCCCCTCAGGGGTTGAGGATCCCCGATACTTGGCAAAGCATGGGAGGAACAAGATTCTCCCCTCATGCCACTGCCAGTGAGTGCCAGGTTTAATGCACTTGGTTCCTGGCCGCAGTCAGTGTTAGAGTAATAATGGCCCTTTTCTATCTGTGTTCTCGGCACACAAAGCTTTTCTTCTAGGGAGTCCTGCATCACATGTTTTTTCCTTGTATCATACAATAGTGTATTTGCTTGTTAATTTTTACAATAAAAATTTTTTTCTCTAACTTCTTATCTTAGAGAGACCACCCACCTCCTGTTGGTTTGTTGCCCATGTGCCAGTAACAGCTGGTCCTGGGACTTAATCTAGGTCTCCCATGTAGATGGTGGGGACCCAGATACTTGAGCCATGGCCACTGCTCTCCAGGGTGCACATTAGTAGGAAATAGCCATGGCTTGAACCCAGACACTCTGACATCGGAAGGAGTCATTCCAAGCAGCATCTTAACGCCTATACTAAATGCCTTCCCCCAATTTAAAGCTTGTTCATTCATCTGTTTGAAAGGTAGAGTAGACAGCATCTGCAGGTTCAGTCCTTAGATTCCTAGAACTAGGGCTGGACCAGGGTGAAGTCAAGAGTCTAAAATTCCATCTGGTTCTCGAACATGGGTACTTAGTCCATCATTGACTGCTTTCCCAGGTGCATCAACAAGGACCCAGACTGGGAGCGAAACAAGCAGGTGCTCTAACACAGGATGTAGGCATTGCAAGCAAGTTACAGTGCCTGCTGTAAACTTTTAGATTTTATAGTTTTTTTTTCTTTACTTACAATAATTATTATATCTATCAGGGTACAATGTGATATACTAATACCATGTATGTTAGGGAGTGATCAAATGAGGCTACTTAGCATATCCATCGTCCCATAGATTCATTTTTTCCTTATGGTAAGAACATTAAGTTAAAAACTTTTGAAATATAAACAGGACATTATTAACTTGTCACCTTTGCTATGCAAAAGAACTCCAGAATTTGTTCTTCCTGTCTAATTGTAACTAATATTGATTTTTTTTTTTTTAAGTCAGCTAAGGTGGGCAGGCCCAGCATAAAAACTGTCATTTCCTACCAGGTAACCAATCAGGCTGTGGCATTAATTTGTTCTCTTAAGGCCATGTGCTGGTTTCCCAAATGGGTGCTGGGTCATGTCCTGGTTGTTCTACCTCTCATCCAGCTCCCTGCTTGTGGCCTGGGAGAGCAGTGAAGGATGGCCCAAAGCCTTGGGACCCTGCACTCATGTGGGAGACCTGGGAGAGGCTCCTGGCCCCTGGCTTCAGATTGGCTCAGCTCCAGCCATTGCAGCCACTAGGGGAGTGAACCAGTGGATAGAAGATCTTTCTGTCTCTCCTTTTCTTCATAAATCTGATCCGCCTTTCCAATAAAAATAAATAAATCTTAACCCCAGAACATTGCTTTCCCCTTAGAAACCCCATGGGCCTTTTGGCCTGACACCAGAGCTACACGCCCCAAAAAGCTTTGCTTTGCCTACTTCTGAAAACAAAAAACCTCCCACTCCCACTACTGTGCTTTGAAAGTCAACCATTAATCAGTGTTGCTCTAGTTTACTTTTTCCATGTATAGTCATTTACTTTACTTGAGGGAGAGACAGAGAGAGGTCTTACATCTCTGGTTCTCTCCTCAAATGGCAACAAAGGCCTGGGTTGGGCCAGTCTGAAGGCTGGAGCCAGGAACCTCATCCAGGTCTCCCATGACTGCAGGGATTCAAGCTCAGGCCATCTTCGACTTCTTTCCCAGGCACATCAGCAAGGAGCTAGATGGGAAGTGGATCAGCTGGGATTCAAACCAGCACTCTGCAAGTGTGCCACCCAATCCCACCAATTTTTATTGCAAAGTCAGAAATACAGAGAAAAGAGACAGGAAGGTCTTCCATCTATTGATTCGCTCCCCAAACAGCCACAATAGCCAGAGCTACACCAATCAGTAGCCAGGAGCCTCTTCTAGGTCTCCCATGCAGGTGCAGGGTCCCAAGGCTTTGGGCCATCCTCGACTGCTTTCCCAGGCCACAGGCAGGGAGCTGGACCAAAGCAGGGCTTCCAGGATTAGAACCAGTGTCCATATGGGATCCTGGCACATGCAAGGCAAGGATGTTAGCTGCTAGGCTACTGCACTGGGCCCAGCTAGTTCATTTTTTAAAAATTAGTTGAACTAGCTTATTTTCAAGATGAAGAATTCATTGAGTTACTATACCATATTTTAGTGACGGGCAGTTCTTTTTAATGTCTGGCTCTCCTGAGTAAAGCCACTGAGTGTTCTGTCCTTGGTACGCATCTGATGTCACTTCTCTAGGGTGCATACTGGAGGTGGAGTTCGGTCCAAGGATGCGCCTCTCCAGGGCTGTGACACCACTAATGCAGTTTTTCTGAGTCTCAGGGCTAGCACAACGTGAAGTTCCCTTCATCAACAGATGTAAGTAACCATGATTTTGCCAAATCTGATGGGTTTCTAGTGGTGCTTCACTAAAATTCTCATTTGTATTTGTCTCATTAATATGATTGCTTCCTCTGTTAGCCATTTGGAATTTGTCTCTTGGGAAGTTCCTGTTGGAGAGTTCATCCATTTTTCTCCTAGGTCTGTTTGTTTGACAGGCAGAGTGGTAAGCTCTTGCATGCACTGGCTTATTCCCCAAGTGGCTCTCTGTAGCTGGGGACTGGACCAGGCTGAAGCCAAGACCCAGGATCTCCATCTGGGTCTCCCACAAGAGTGGCAGGAGCTCAAATCATTTCCCAATGCCTTCCCAGGCGCAGCAGCAGTGAGCTGCACTGGAAGCAGAGCAGCTGGGAGTTGAACTGGGATTGCAGTGAAGGATATGGGTGTTTCCAGTGGCAGTTTAACCTGCTATACCACACCACCAGCCCTTAGATTTGTAAGGGATATTACAAATGCTAATTGCTGGTCAGTGTTACAAGCATCCTTCCACATGCTCTGGCTATTTCCTCTTTTAGGTTTCTGCTGAAGATTAGCTGTTAAGGCGGGTTTGCCAGGTGTTTTTCCATGCTGGTTGGTGCTGTATGTGGTACAAGAACCTTCCTCTCCAGTAGACTGTTGTTTTGGAAATAATCACAGAGCAGCCCCGTGCCCGCCCTTCCCTCACTGTCCTGCAGTGGGACTGGAGTAGAGCACCAGTGAGGACGTCGACACGAAGGCCATTACAGGCTTTCTCGGAGGGCACACAGGCTACACGCCTGTGGGTGCCTGTGACCACACTGCACTTACAGAACTGGCTCTGTTACCACAGAAGTCCATCCACTGGGTCACTCCTCAAATGTCCACAACTCCAGAGCTACAGCAGGCAGTGCCAGGAGCTAGGAACTCCAGCGGGGTCTTACGCAGCATGGGTAGCTAGGGCCTCAGCATCTGAGTCATCATGGGCTGCCTGTCGGGATGCATCAGCCCGGAGCTGGATCAAAAGCAGAATACCTGGGACTGAAAACCAGCACTCTGTGATGTGGCCACCACAAGTGGGGACTGACCCTCCTGCCACCAGACAGGATGTGCTCCCTTTTAATTGCAAGGTTATAGATGTTCTCTGTGGAAAATGAGAGTATACTTCAAAAAGTTTATGGAGAAACAAGTTTTAAGAGTAGACATCTGGCCTAGCATTTGGGGGGTTTCACTGGGTAGATCTCTCTCTGCCTTCCCAATAAATAAGGTTTCTTCTTAATTAAAAAAAAGATCAGTTTCTTTGGGCATAAAAACTTTGAAATCCATACAGCTTCTTCATAATACGTACCTCCCATGGAGTTTGCGCAAAGATCCTGGCAGGGAAAGGCGCCCTGGCTCACCAGCTGGGCTGTCAGAGACCGCCATAGGTGGGATTCTGTCAGTTCAGAGTGACTGTACTGCAGCAGAAGCATTTTTCCAGAACTTAAGCTTGACATTTTCTGCTCTGGAGTGCACGGTCTGACATCCCAACCTCAAGCTTCCTGGTGCCAGCTGCGTAGATCACTGGCCTATGCTACAGTTACTGAGCTGGGGAGCCATGCAACTGAGGTGTCTGGCCCTTCTGTTTCCTGGGCCAGCAGGCTGCATGCCGGGTCCCAGGAGGGGAACAGAGGTGGACAGAAGTGGGAAGCTTGTAAGCCTGGGAAGGACTGGGACTTCCATCCAAGGTACAGTGGCAAAGGAGGGACATTGTCATGTCAGATATGCCATCTCAGCTGTTGTGGCCACTTGGGGGTGAACCAGCATATGGGAAGGTCATTATCTCTCCTTCCCTGTGTAAATCTGCCTTTTCAATAAAAATAAATCTTTAAAAAAGAAAGAGGGCCCGGCATGGTAGCCTAGCGGCTAGAATCCTCGCCTTACACATGCCAGGATCCTGCATGGGCACCTGTTCTAATCCTGGCAGCCCTACTTCCTATCCAGCTCCCTGCCAGTGGCCTGGGAAAGCAGTCGAGAATGGCCCAAAGCCTTGAGACCCTGCACCCACCCATATGGGAGACCCAAAAGGAGCTCCTGCTCAGCACAGCTCTGGCTGTTGCAGCAGCTTGGGGAGTAAATCAGCAAATGGAAGATCCTCTGTCTCTCCTCCTCTCTGTATATCTGACTCTCCAATAAAAATAAATCTTTTTTTAAAAATGAGAGAAACAAGGAATCAAATCTGTGTAACCCTAACTCTAGCACAAGCACGATGCACATGATTTAAGCACATAGAGTGTAAGATAGCACTAACTCCTAACTCCAAATGTAGAAAACAAATATTTTTCCCAACTTAGAGACAAAACATTTAAATCTCAGGATAGAAACATTTTAATGCAAATAAGGAAAACAAAAGCAAAACTTAATTAAGACATGTCTTCAGTAAATATGCAAGTAGCTGCAGTTCAGACACCCTGTTCACATGGGCTCTGCTGGTATTTGGACAGCATGGGACTGCTTAGCACTTCCTGTGGTCCCAAGGGTACCAAGAGGGGAGCACCATCTACCAAACAGGGTCGTGAGCGAGATCCAGAGCTACAGGAGCTGCAGGTTCAGTCCTGCAGTGGGAATTAGGAAAGTCTCCAGCTGACGAGCCATGTCCTCAGAGCAGAGCTGCGACTCCCAGGGAATGAGGGTGACGTGAGAGAAACACGGATCCTTCAGGGACCATCTCCAAAGAGAATGAAGTCAGGCAAATGAAAAACAGATTATGGATGCAGTTTGTGGCTCACTGTGTTCTTACAGCACAATGGAAGTGAAAGGTAACACAGCCCTTATACTCAGGAATTTTAGCAAACTGCTTTTTAATAACCACAGAACACCCCATAATTATCTGCAATGTACTAAGAAGTGTGATCTTGACTATAAAGCGCTGAAACCTCAGAGGAAGAGTATTAAAACAAACTAAAAAACAAGTCAAAAATACGATTATTACAGCAAGGATCTTGTAGCCATTTCTAGGCATTCATCTAGAACTATGTCACACTGATACAGTGGTGGGAGAGACATTTCCGGTCAATGGTGATTTGGAGTTCGATCTCATTTCTTCAGATTCAGTGCTCCTTCCTTTGGCTCCAAAGTCCCTGGAAGCTGCTCAGAGCCACAGCCTTCCCCAGGTACTGGGGCTGCGAGGGTCATGCTCACGAGTGGAACTGCCTTCCAGGTTAGGTCACTGCCCCCGACTCAGGGAAAGGCTCCCTGAAAGCTTCCTGAAGAAAGATATATCGCTCACCACCTTTCCAGAAAGCATCCCTGGATCACATCAGACTGTTCCAGGATTCTGATTTGTATCCAGTTTTTTTGTTTGTTGTTTTCATGCAGAATACAAAAGATTTGGTCCTTTGGGAACACCTAAAATTCTAAGCCCTGAAATAAACTGTACTGAAGCCCTACAAGAATATTTTCTGAATACACTGGATGTTGAATTAATCTTGAGAAATGTGTCTCCGACCTCTGGCTGCACACTTCACAGAGGGTGACAGCCAAGGGTGAGCTACCAGGAAACCACCACCCTGGTCATGGAATACGACGTACAGATCTTTGTGTGGACTGGGAAAGCTTACAGTATTTATAAGCATGTGACAAGAATATTGGCTACCACTGCAGACCCCCTCCTGGGAGCTGTACATCCCCACATCCCATGTTTGCTCCAACCCTGATGCGGCCAACACTGACTGCCCTGTGCACAGGCAGGGCCGAGCCCCGATGACGACAGCACCAGGGCCACCTGCCCGGCGCCTTTGTTTTGAGGTCTTCAGGATCCTTGTGCGACTGAGCGTCTGGTACCAACCACGTCAATCCCAAGCAATTCTGGGATGTCCGTGAGGCTGAGAAAACAAAGAGAACAAGACTGATGAGACTGGCAGTCCCTGGGGCAGTGAAAGATGAGCTCCACTAACAGCGAAGGCATGGCCGACAAAGCCACTTTCATGTACAGCTGGAAAAGCTCTGCCCCACCTTGCCATGGCAGTAAAGCCACTCTGACATGTGGGAAGCACCAGCCTTAACATATTTTCCCGCACCCTCGGAAGGTCTGATCTTGCCAAGATGCTCACGGTCCAGAGCCAGGCGAGCCGAGGCAGTGCTGCTCCCTGCCCCTTTGTTGCAGTGATTGGGGGTGGACTCCCCCGCTCTCATCTTGGTCTACTTGGCTTTGGTGTGACCTGACCACAAAGCAGCTAGCCTCCTTCTCTCACAGCTCATTTCCCATGAAAGGCATCATCTTGGAGCACCAGGTGGCCACAGGGGCCCTGGGTAAAGGAGGATGGGACCATCAGCACACGGTGCCTTACCTATTGGCTCCTGGGACACTGTAAAGGCCTTATTAGCTTCTCTGTGCCCCCTTTGGTGGTCTACACAGGGGCGCCACTCAAGTACCTCCAGAGATAGGGAAACAGATCCCCGGGGAAGAGGGAGGCAAGTGGGTGTCTTGGTTGCCTAGCTTTTCTGTCGCCACAGTCAGGAGCTGGACCCCTGCTCTGTCACCTCTTCCCAGCTGTGGTCACCACTCTCATCACATTGTTCTTGGCCCCCAAACAGGGTGGACAGGCACGCAGCCTGGCAGCAGGCAATCAGGGATTGGGCTGCAGCAGCAAGAGCCGGAACATAAGCATGAAGGCTCTTTTATACTCAGCCATGCAGAGACACAGACCCTGAGTTGAGGGTCCCTACTGGTCAGGAAGAGGGGAAACCAAAGAGGAGAGAAGCCAGCAAGAAGCCAGGAGAGCTGGATGGCACAGCCGAGCACAGGGCTCTGGAACAGGCCTGGCATCACCCACAGACTCCTACCTTGGGCCGGTAGCCATGTTCGGCCATCATCTTGGCCTCCTGCCGCAGTAAGGTGTCACAGAGCTGCTCTGCCTGCCTGGCCTCCTCTTCCTCCTCCTCCTCCTGCTGGTTGGCTTCCCACGCCCGCAGCTGGCGCTCTGCCACCTGGCCCCCAAGAGCAAAGTCACCCTGAGACAAGACCCCCAGAGCACAACCCTGTCTCCCCAAAGAGAGAAAGCATGCAGTGCCAGCTGGGCTGGAGCTAAGTCGCAGGTACAGCGAGTGCCAGACACAGGAAGGCTACTTGGGTCTTCTTGAAAGTATGGCATGTAACCATGTATTCAGAATACTCTGTGTTCCATGTCAGGTCATGGAATTAAATAAAGACTCTTGGCCAAGGGTTACACCTGCCTGCAGATGCAGACGGTCAGGCCAGCCTCACACCCACCAGAGACATGGGACCCTGTGTGGGACATGCACCACAGCCACGAGCATCAGGACTTCAGCTGCAGTAAACAGAAGATGGATGTGTTGAGCCCCTGTCAGGTGCGATCTGTGCAAACAAGTGCCGGGCACTCAGTCCTATCCTACGATGATGCAAGAACATGATGTCACCCTCCAGAGGCTGCCTCCCACCCCTGGACTTGGCCCTACCTGAGCTTCCAGCTCTTGCTTCCTGGCCGACTTCAGTTCTTTGCTTTGCTCATGCTCACGGCGGGCTGACTCTCTGGCCTCCTCGAGACTGCGAATGAGCTGCTCCCTGTGTTTCAAGGATTCCTCTTGTGCCTGTCGGTTTTGTTCAATCTTTTCTTGTATTTGCTGTTGTCTCCCCGCTAGGACCTAACCTCCATAGGAAGGAAAGCAGACTTGAGATCAGAGGCCCATCCATAAGCCTTGCCCAAGTGGCAGGGACAGAGACAACCTCTGGTATCCTGGCAGATGTGGTTGACTGAACCCTGTAGTGGCACCTTGCCGCTCTGTGGTTGTGGTTTTAGACCTGAGGCTGAAGATTAGGCTGGGTCTCTGTGGAGCTGCAGCTGGGAGTGGTTAGGGGCATAGAAACCCTACAGAGACTAGTGGAGCCTCACTCCCCCCCAACAGTGGGTCCCAAGGAGAAGTACAAAATCCACACAGAGGACTTCGGGGAGAGTCTGGGTGAAATCTCCCACTCGAGGCAGCAGAGCATGCTGTGACACCTGGCTCTACAGCAGCGTGGTCCCACACCAGCCTCGGGCAGACTTGGGCATCAGGGTGGCGAGAAGCCACCTGAGCTGCCCAACAGTCACACCTTTGGGAGGTGATGAGCACAGCAGCCACAGCCAGGAGGGCAGATGAAGTGGGAACAGTCAGAAGCCACTGGGGGACACCTGGTGTCCACAAGAATGAGAAAGCACCAACTGGGACCCCATCTCCTCTAGATTCCAGAATACAACCCGCTAACGGACAGCAGCCTTAAGCTGCTCTGAAGAGAGCTTTCAATACATCACCCAGGTCATGGGGTGTCTTCCACATGTACACTCCAGCCTGTGTCTGGCCCTCTATGCCAAGAAAGAAATCGGCAATGTGGAAAAGCCCAAAATGCTTATGGCAGCATTTCTTACAATGGCTCAAAAATCAGAACGACCCAGAATATCCAATATGGCCTAGGAAAGCACACCAGGGTCTCATGAGAATTCCCTGATAAAATATGATCCTGCCACTAAAAGGGCAACCACAGAGACAGGGCGGCACATGCCAGTGTTGCCACCAGAGGGCATGGCATGAGGCACTGTCACACATGGAGACGGGAGTAGAAGGAAACCTGCCAATGGCTACGCCGCCACCAAGGCCCCGCTGCCTCTGCACTGCTCAACAGGTTTTTAAAGCCCAATGGGAATAAGCTGAGATTGCTCCTGGTGGTTCTGGTGGGGTCAGCACGCCACTGTGGACCTGACGCCTGGCCCCCAGCTGGCGGACGGGGCTGGGTTACCTCACTCATGAGCCGGTCACGTGCGCTGCGCTCTCGAGCCCACTGGGCCTCTCTCTTTTCCCACATCTCCTTGGCCTCCTCCCTGAGAAACAGAAAACAGACGAGAAGTTCCTGACTACTGCTGCTGGCTGGCAGTGAATCAAGAGCAAAAAGAGCACCTGGCGCAATAGCCTAGTGACTAAAGTCCTCGCCTTGAACACACCAAGATCCCATATAGGCATCAGTTCTAATCCTGGTGGCCCCTCTTCCCATCTAGTTCCCTGCTGTGGTCTGAGAAAGTAGTCAAGATGGCCCAAAGCCTTGGGACCCTGCACCCGCGTGGGAGACCGGGAAGAGGCTCCAGTCTCCTGGCTTCAGATTGGCTCAGCTCCAGCTGTTGCAGCCATTTGGGGAGTGAGTGATCGGATGGAAGATCTTCCTCTCTGTCTCTCCTCCTCTCTTTACATCTGAATATTTGCCTTTCCGATAAAAATAAATAAATCCTTTTAAAAGAGAGAGAGCAAACAAGCCAGACAACCCTCGATGAGGCCCAACTTCTGTCAGCTCTTCCTCTGAAAGATGACAGTGATGGCTGGCCTTCCTGGAATTGTCTGAAGCCACCTACTTTCATACCTCATCACCTTAAAGCGCTGGAGGCAGCTCACACAGTAGCCACCAAGGTGCCAGACTGGAGGAGGCTGCTGGCCTGGGCCTGAGCTGTGGCTGTGCGCTAGGGTCATGGCCAGCTCATCCCAGAGGGCCTGTGTCCCACCTTGGGGACTGGGAAGGCCAGCCTTACCATGTAGGAAGTGCTCAGAGTGAGCCACCTGTTATTTCTGTCTATGGCTTAGGTGTTCAAGACCCAATTTTATTGACCCAAAGGACTTCTTCAGAACTCAGAGCATTTTCCCGTCAAATCATTAAGACATTACATCAGCAGAGTGGTACCCTAACCCATCCTGACTTGCATGTTAAGCAGCTGAAGGGAAATACCGGGCCTAAAGGAACCAGGTCAGATGCCGCAATAGCCAGAGGGATATGAAGAGCATTTGAGGGAACCGAGTGGGGGCCCACCACCTCTCACCTCAGCAACATCTGCAGCTCTGCCTCCCGCGCCCTCTCTAGCTGCAGCTGCTCCTCAATGACCTGTTTCATCCAGGCCGCGTCGGCCACGGCCTGCTCGCGCCTGGCCAGCTGCAAGCGCTGGTCCTCATCCTCCTTCTCCAGGAGCGCCTGCAGGATCTGCTTGTCTGCCTCCTGGAAGAAGCAGTGGGTGGGCTGGACAGACAGAGCCCTTCAGCACCTACAGCCTACAGAGGATCTCTCCCAACTCGTCCCCCAGAGAGCGAATCATAGCAGGGGTGAGGGATGGTTTAGCCACGCTCAGCTCGGAGCTTTTGCATTAGGAAAGGGAGACCGCTGCAGCACCACAAGCTCTCGGCTGTATCTTACGGCACAGCTTTGTGCGACACAGCTGGGCAGCAGTTCTGCTCCAAAGAGCACTGACTCTGCAGCACAAATGCACGAAGCACTTGCTGTAGGGTCATGAGAGAGTTGGGCTTTCCCGAGGATGAGGGAACACTGGGAAGAGTGAAGGGAGAAGGCTGCACACTGGGCTCCCAGGGGCCCAGCTCCTTGGGGTCAGCCCTGACCACAGCAGCCAGGGGTTGTGGGGAGCCTCGACTTGTCCGCTTTCCAGTTGTAGTGAGGTGACTCATCAAAGCACTTCACAGGAGCACCTGAGTGGCTATTCAGAACGCACTCAAGCAGATGCACTCACCTTTCAGGGGAGCTGAGCTTCCCCATGAGCGAATGTAGGTGGCTAAGGTGTGCAACTTCAGTCACATGAAAAAATACCACCACCTTCTCTGGAAAATGCTTGCAATACCCAGGGCTTGGCCAGGCCAAAGCTAGGAGCCCAGAACCCAATTCAGGCCTCCCTATGTGAGTAGCAGGGACCCAAGTCCTTGCACTTGCTGCCTCCCAAAGCATGCATCCGATTTGGGAGATAAGTATGCTAATCGCTGAGCCATGTGCTTGCCTGTTTTGTTGGATGGCTATGATCATGCTAATGAACACATGCCTCACCTCAAAGGGGCTTTTTGGTGGCAAGGACACTTACAATCTACTGTCTGCGCTTCCGTGGAGCGCACAGTCCAGGCCCTGCGCTGCACTCGAGGTCCAAGGACTCGTTCACCTCAAAGCTGAAGGCCTGTACGCTTGGATGCCACCTCCCGCCCCCTTCTCCCGACAACACGCACACACTGTGTGTGGAAGAGATTTCTTCCAGAGTGCAAAGCACACTGCACCCATCACACTCACCAGCTCCTCCTGGATCTGCTGGGCGCGCCTGTTGAGCTGGGCGTTGTACTGATGTCGCAGAAAGCGCCTAAAAAGGTAAAAAAGTGTGGGTCACCTGCAGCATCGTGGGAAGAATTCATTGGGGCCTGGAAACACTCACTACAGGCTGTGCCCTTCCTGGCGTCAGGATGCCAGTGCCAGGGAAGGTGGGAAGGCCCGCACGCACCCCAGCTCTGCCTTCTGCCGGAAGGCCGCCATCTGCTTCCTCTCCTCCTCCAGCCTCTCCAGCTCCCAGCGCTGCCTCAGCAGGTTCTCCTGTTCCTTCTTCAGCTTGCTCGCCTGTGGTGACAGGGTTAGGGACCCGACTGAGCCGACAGGCATCAGACCTCCCTTTATTCTCCATCTCCGTCTCCAGCCAGCTGCCCTCATGATGGGTAGCCAGGAGACCCCTCCCAGAGCCCAGCTTCACTTCCACATTCATCCCATGTGAGCTGAGCCACCCTCTGCAAGAGCCCCTCCCAGGCCTGCAACAAGGAATGACCCCATGCTCTGAGCTCTCAGGGGATGCTGGACTAGTCTGCACTTCAAAATCATCTCCTGCCTCTGACACAGCTCCTTCCACAAGGCTAGGAGCCAAGGCTTGCTTGGGCTCTGACTCTAGCGCCCAGTGCAGTGCTTGGTGCCTGGAGACGTGCACTGGGCACGGAGCTCTGAGTTACTGAGTCGTTCAGACCTGGCGGAGGAAGAGGAGGGAAATGAGGACAAAGGGGCACAGAGAAGGTGCAGCCCTCGCAAGCAAACCAAGCACAGCGTCCCCAGCAGACCAAATCCCTCAGACCCAGTCAGGACTGGGTCACGACACAGCCAGGAGTCAGGACCCCAATCAGGGTCTCCTTCCCACATGGGTGGTGGGGAGAAAAGCACTTGAGCCACCAGGGCACGGGGACGAAATTCAGGTACCCTGAGGTGGGGCAAAGCATCTTAGCCCCTAGGCCAAATGCCCGCATACACGGTTTTTATTTTTTCAAGTTTGCTCATTTCTTTTTCTTTACTCTCTGCTTGAAGGGCAGAGAAGCAAGAAGGGGAAAGCAGAGAGGGATAGATTGAAATCCACTGATTCTCTCCCCAAACGCTCATAATGTGTTGCTGGGATTCCAGACACTCCAGTACGGGCTGCAGGCACCTCTCCAGGGAGGGCTTCCCTCAGCCTAATGGGCAGCCCCGGAGGGCCGGGAAGGGGGGCCCTGGCTCACCTCCAGCTCCTTCAGCTTCAGCTCCTCCATCTGCTGGAGCAGCGCCTCGGCCTGGAGTTTGTCCTCCAGCTGCCTCCTCTCCTGTTCCGCTTTCATCCGCTCCATCGCTTCCCTCCGGGCCGTCTCGTACTCATTTTCATGCCGTTTCTCTTCTTGCTCTCTGCTGGCCTCTTCCTGCAAGGAGCCAAAGGCACCTGGGAGGTTGGCCCTTGTTACTACTCACAGCTGGCAAGTCCCATTTCCTGCCACCACTCAGTGGGCCACAGGGACCCCCACAGGCCCTGCCTCGTGTCAGCAGCGAGACCCTGGGTTGGGGCACAGCTCCTTGGACTCAGTTCCCTCTGTGGAAGCTGCAGGTAGTGCCCTCACAGATAAGGCTGGGGAGGTGCCCGGCACACAAGTGGGGGGACTCGACAACACCCAGTGTCATCCCCCTACCCTGGTCACCCAAATACTTTCTAAAATGAAGCCAGAGGCAAAGCCTGGAAGGTGGCCTCTTGTCCTTAGTAGTGCTGCCACAGGCCAGCAACAAGAGAGAGACTGCCGACAACAAAGACAGCCTGAAGGCTGCCTGTCCCAGCTCCCACCTTCCAGCTCTGATGGTCACCCAAACTTAGTCTGTCCTGGGGAATGATCACAAAGGATCCCGGGCCACGTATGGGCAAGTGTCAGTTTTCCCATTAAACAGGGTCTGCTGCGCAACTGGCATCCCTAACACTGGAAAATTCAGAGACACAGAGACAGACTGGTACCATCACAGGTGGCCTTCTTCCCGAGCTGGGAGCCATACCTGTTTTTTTTCTTCTTTCTGTATCTCCCAAGAGTCCACCACATGTTTCCTGTGAAGGTCCAGCTCAATCTAGGATGAGAAGGGACAGATGACTTCCTCATGGATTCACTGGACGCCGCCTCCTGCACCACTTGCTGGCATATGGCCGTCATTTTCCTTGTTAGGATTCCGCAGGGGCCTGGCGGTTCAGCAACAGAGCAACAATGGGCCTGATACACAGCATGAATGCAGTCCAATATGGAAACCAAGGGAGCAGGTGCTACTACACCCTTCTGGAGAGGTGGGTGCAAGTCCCAGAAGTGCTTCCCCAGTACCTTGGGGTTGGGCAGGAAGCCCAGCAGATTGACAGGAAAACATCCCACAGTGTCTCTGGGACCCATCTCTGGCCTCTGAGTGAGTTGGGTGCACTTCCCCTGCCCATTTGCCCAACTGCCCAGGAGGGAGGTGTTGTCCCATGTGCCAGGTAACAGATGGAACAGCACGGTGTGATGACCACAGAGAGGGACCCCTCGGGCCTCAGGCTACAGCAGGTCCTCTGCAGGTGGCTGGAGGCTCCCTCAATTACAACCCAGCCTGGAGACAGGATCTCATCTACTAAACACGTCCACAGAAGGCTCCTGGTTTTCACCTCTCGAAGTCTGGGATTGTTCTTTTTCCAATGTTCGTAGAGGAGTTGTTCAGCCATCTATCAAGAAGACAAACAGAGAGACACAACGTTAGGGTCCAAATCCACTGACAGGGTGGATGGCGCACAGTGGACTAACAGCTCCTGGCCCGCAGGCTGTCACTGCACCCACCATCCACATCCAACTGCCCTGCACCCTCGACACTGCGAGCCAGACTTCAGGCAGACCTGGATGGCAGTGACAAGGGGACTCAGTGATGGTGACAGAAGGGAGGGGAGGAGTCAAATGCAGAGTGAGACCTCAGCCCTGGCAGCTCAGGTGCAAGTGGGGGAGTCCTGTTACACCCAAGTGCATGGGAGTGACCCCCACGTGTGCCCTCCCAGGATAACCATTTCTGAGAAGAGCACCCTCCTGCCCCACAGCCTCCTAAAGCTCCGTGACATTTTACCAGCTTCCTCTGCTCTTCCCTGGCAGACCTCAGGTTCCCGTGCCGCTCACGGATTCTGCTTTCCCGCAGGTTCATGCTCAGCCGCAACTCCTCCAGCTCTCGGGCCAGCAGGTCCTGCTCCTCCAGCATCAGCTGCCGGAGCTTCTCCCGGCGGGCTTCCAGACTCCTCCTCTTCTCCTCCTTCACCTTCTCTCGCTGGTAGGCGTGCATGCTGTGTGAGAAGCAGCCCGCAGTCAGCCGATCCCGCTTCAGTCACAGCTCTGCTAGGTGAGGCTACGAGATACTGAGGAGGACGCACGTGACGACACAGGGAGGCATTCCTCACCAGCGGGACGGAGGAAGGTTGTGCAAAGGTATGCAGAGTAGAAATTCTTACTTTTGCAAAGAAAGAATGCCTAGTGGGCTTAAGTATGCATGTGATACCCATGACAGCTAAGGGTTTTTGAGCAATTCCCATGTACCTAGTCCTAGAGAGGGGGTGTGGTTTATTACTCATCGTGTAAGTCTCACAAGGTAGGTTCTGTTTTAGTCCCCACTTGCCTGATGAGGAATCGAGGGTTACCCATCTGACACCAACAGGTCTTCCATTTAGGCCTGGCTGGCTCCAGAGCCTTGGCTTGTCAGGTCCACCTACTTAGAAGTTTCTCTAAAACTGACTCTTTGTGTGTGTGTGTGTGTGTGTGTGTGTGTGTGTGTGTGTGTGTTTGGGTACTAAAGGGAAAATACACGGGGCAGGAGACACACCAAGCTGGGAACTCGTGACTCCCTGCAGGTTCGGGGCTCACTTTATCTCCGTCACTGCCCTGATGGTTTCCATCTCACCTTCAGCTGGAGAAAAATGGCACACAGGTAACCCCCGCCCCGGCACGGGTGCTCACCTGCTCCCCGTGCCCTTACCTGCGCAGGTAGGAGGTGCTGGAGCTCCATTCGGCCTGTTTGGAGGCACGGATGTCGGATGTCCTGAAGTAGTGGCTGTTCTGGTCCCACTGCTGCCGAAGCCGCGCCTCCTGCTCCCGCTGCCGCTGCCAGGCAGCCTGCTGATCCAGGGGCCTCCGGCTGCACCAGCGGGAGGGCAGTGTCGGGAGGGCCATCTGAAAGGACCAGCAATGACGGCAGAAGAATGAGGGGAGTGCCAGCCCAAGGAGCCCCTGACAGATGTGGCCTCCCCCCTTTAATGAGTCATCCTCATTCCTGGGCTACACACGGACATCCCCTGGTACAGCTCAAAGGAAAAAAAAAAAACAGAAATACCCTTCTGGGTCCCACTCCACACCTTACTGAAAGAAAAATGCCTGTTTAAATGCCTGTTTAAAGGACTTAAATGCCTGTTTAAAGGACTTCGCCAGCAGGCCTACAAATCAGTCTAAACTAACCTGGCCTGTACCTGGCTGCAGACCAGCCACTCCCGGGGACTGACCAGGCAATGCCACCTTGGGCACACTGGGGGCTTGAATGCTCTGTACAGACTAACCCCTTAGGAAACACGCATTTTCCCATGCTTATAGTCACCCCGTGTTTGTTTTGCAGATGACACAACCCAAGTTCAAAGAGGTGAAGTGATCTGCACACCCCAAGAGGCTGTGTGATAGGAGCTTCAAGCCCTGCTCAGGTGGCCCATCCAGGGCTCACTCCATAAGTCTGCTGGGCTAGCAGACTCCTGTGAGAGGAATGGGACTATCAAGGGTCCCAGATGAACCTGGGGGATACGGCTGGGGCCTGCAAAGCAGAACACAGTGTCACTCCAGGCCACCATCCCCCTCCAGCAAAAGCTGCCCCGGTTGGGGAATGAGCGAATGAATGCGGGTCGGTGCTCAGAATCTCGGATGCAGCCTCCTCCCAATGCCGAGGGTCATGTGCGCAAGTCATGTGCGTCTAAGGGGGCCAAATGCAACCCCCGGTGGCCAGCCTGTGATCTCTGTCCGGCACAGGAGTGTGGCAGGATGAACTTACGTCCTTCCTGTCCTGGATGGAAAGCAGTCAGCAGGTAAGTACAAACCTTAAGATTTGAGTCCCGCTACGGACACCATTCAGCTTGCTCCTGGAACAAGGGGCATCCCTCTCTCAGCCTCAACATCATCTACATCTCACCGACAGGTCACAGTGCAGAGCGTCAGATGCAGGGCGAAAACCCCACTGCCCGCACCCCTCCCCGCCCCAGCGCCGTGATCTCGAGTCCCCCGTGGTTCCCGCGTGGCTTTCCCGCCCAGCGCGGGGCGCTCGGACAGGGATCCAGCGGATCTCGTCCCCATGGATGCCGGCTCCCAGCGGAGCCTCGCCGCCAGACTCACTTTTTTCCGCGCCCCTGGAGTTCCCGGGGAGTCCCGTGACCCGAGCTCCCGCACGCCCCAAGCGGGCCCGGGACAGTCCGGCGGGGCCCCAGCTGAACCGCGCGACACTAAAGCCGGCCGTTTTCCGCCTGTTCGTTGTCCCGGCAACGGGCCCCACGACGGAGCGCCGCAAGGGCCAAGCCATCCTCCAGAGCGACGCTGGACGCGCGGAGAAGGAGAAGAATGTTTCGGCTCTGATGCCCTCTCGTGGAGGGCGGGAGACCAAACCGCCAACGGTTCATGTCCTTGAAACAACCAAGGATGAAGAAAAGGAAAGCCACACTCACCCCCAAACTTCAGGGTGGTGGTCACCGGAGGGAGTAAAGGAAACAGGGGCGAGGAGAGAGGGGACATAAGCCAGTGGCTCTCAAATAATGGTTTTGCTTGAGAGTCACCGGGGTAAAATCCAGATGGCGTGGGGTGTTTGGCAGAGTGGTGATCTACCCCCAGATTCCAGCTTCCTGCTAATGTTCACCCTGGAAGGCAGCAGGGAATGATGGCTCAAACAGAGGGGTTCATGCCACCCATGGGGAAACCTAGAGACAGTTGCAGGCTCCTGGCTTCAGCCTGGCACAACCCTCACTGCTGTGGAGTGAACCAACGTATGGCATCTCTCTCTTTCTCTCTCTCCCCCCCCCCAGACCAATTCCTCCAGGTTCTCAAAGAGTCCCCGTGTTTCCCATGTGTTTCCCCCAGTGTATCAGTGTGCAGCCAAGGCTGACCGCGTGGCGCAGTGGATACAGGCAGCTTTCCAAGTCCTCCCTGGCATCCCTTCTCTGAGTACGCTTTATAACTACTACATGTGTGACTCTATGGCCGACTCCAGGAACTTCTTTCCAGGTCTCCCACAGGGGTGCAGGGTCGCAAGGCTTTGGGCCATCCTCGACTGCTTTCCCAGGCCACAAGCAGGGAACTGGATGAGAAGTAGAGCTGCTGGGATTAGAACCGGCATCCATAGGGGATCCTGGCACATTCGAGGCAAGGACTTTAGCCACTAGACCACTACGCCCCGCAAGTACCTTTTCTTTGGTTGCATCTGGGGCTCCTGTGAGGCCTGCTACCCAATCGAGAACTGCCTAACCCGAGGCCCAGGAAAGTGCTGTTATTTGAGGAACTTTAGCAGATGAACAGGTCAGGCAGGGCTCCAGGGTCACAGGCCTCCCTGCTCCTGTCCCACTGCTCCCAGGACATAGCTGATATTTGATCCATCTTCGCTAAGAACCGAAGACATGGACTAGGCCTTGTAGTGCAGCAAGTGAAGTTGCTATTCATAATGTCAGAATCCTATATTGGACTCAGGATCAAATCTGAGTTCTTTGCTTCATCTGAACCAGCTCCCGGGGAATATGACTGGGAAGGCAGTGCCTGACGACTGAGGACTTGGATCCCTGCCACCTGTGTGGAAGAGCCGGATGGAATTCCTGGCTCCTGGCTTCAGCTCGACCCGTAGCTGGCTTTTGTGGCCATCTGGGGAGTGACCGGAAGATGAAAAGTGTCTGTCTCTCTCTCTCTCTGTAACTCTGCTCTTCTAATAAATAAATACATATTTTTAAAAGTATAAAAAATGAGAAGCTCCTCAACACTAAATCTCTTGTCTCCCTCCACCCCACCAAAAAAAAAAAAAAAAAAAAGGAGAGGAAAGGGCAATTGAAGCCACCATTTGTCATGCCATCATCCCCATATCAGAGAGCTGCTTAGAGCCCTGGCCACTCAGCTTCCAATCCAGCACCATGCTAATATGGTTAGGAGGGCAGCGGATGATGTCCAAGGTGCTTGGGTCCTGCTGCCCACCTGGGAAATCAGATGGACTTCCAGGCACCTGACTTCAAGCCTGGCCCAGTTTGTATCATGACAGCCTTTTGGAAGTGTGAAAAATAGATGGAAGATCTCTTGATCTCTTCCTATCTCTTTGTAAACTCTGCCTTTCAACAAATAAAATTAAATAATTAAAAAAAAAAAGACAGAGGGCCCACCACGATAGCCTAGTGGCTAAAGTCTTTGCCTTGCAAGCGCCAGGATCCCATATGGGCGCTGGTTCTAATCCCGGCTGCTCTGCTTCCCATCCACCTCCCTGCTTGTGGCATGGGAAAGCAATCAAGGATGGTCTAAAGCCTTGGGACCCTGTGCCCATGTGGAGACCTGGAAGAGGTTCCTGGCTTTGGATTGGCGTAGCTCTGGCTATTGCAGTCACTTGGGGAGTGAATCGGGACGGAAGATCTTCTCTGTCTCTCCTCCTCTCTGTATATCTGACTTTGCAATAAAAAAATTTTTAAAAGAATAGTAAAACTTTTAAAAAATGATAATAAATAAATAAAGATGAAACCAAAACAGGCATTGAGAGAAAGCAGAAAAGGAGTTAGCCATCCCTGAACACCTCCCCTGGGAGAATGCTTCTAGAACATGCAAGTACCACCTCACTAAAGCCTCCCTCGGGGCTGGGAGGAAGGTGGCCCTGTCCCATCTGGCAGGAGATCCCCTGACTCTCTGAGAGCTGATACGACTCCCCTGAGATCACCCAGCAATGCCACGAGAGCCGGGATGGGCACCTGCCCCCCAGAGCTCATGCGTCTCTCGTCAGTATGTCTTCCCAGGGGATTGTGGTGGCAGGCATCATTCCTCAAAGAGGCCTCTGAGAGCAAAGTGGCAGCAATGTTACACCGCCAAAGTGGTGGATCCGTGACTGTGGTCAGTGGGGGCTGGGTGGGAGACCCTGGCAGAGGGTTGAAAGGGTGGGGTTGCTCTTGTACTTAAGTCTTGACACAGAAGCAGAAAATGGGAAGGAGGGTGAGCTGGGTGTTTGGCTCATTTGTTAATATTCTGCTGTGCCAGGAGCAGGTGTGGTGGAGTGGTGGGCAAAGCCACAGCTGGGAAAGCCTGCACTCCATATCTAAGTGCCTGATCGAGTCCTGGCTTTTCCATGCTCCCAGTCCAGCTCCCTGCTACCCAGGGGACACCAGCTACAGACCAAATGCTTGGCATTCCCGGCTTCCTTGTGAGAGACTCAGATGGGCTTCCAGGCTTTGGGCTGGCCAAGTCCCAGCTGCTGTGAGCATCTGCAGAGTGAAACAACAGATGGAAAATTGTTCTCTCTGGCGTCAGCGTTGTGGCACTGCAATCGAAGCCATTGCCTGTCATGAGAGCATCCCAGATGAGTGCCGATTCAAGACCTGGCTGTCCCCACTTCTTGTCCAGCTCCCTGCTCGTGCACCTGAGGAAGCAGCACGCAATAGTTCAAGTGCTCAAGTCCCTGTTAGCCACGTGAGAGACCAGAATGTGATTCCAGGCTCAATTTTTGTGGTTATTTGGGGAGTGGCCCAGCAGATGGTAGGGGCGTGTGTGTGTGTGTGTGTGTGTGTGTGTGTGTGTGTGTGTATGCGAATTCTGCCTTTCGTTTCAAATAGATGAAGCCATCTTTTAAGCAGGATTGGGGAGAGAAGGTGGTGGCATTGGAGCTGCTCTCATAAGCAGAAATGGGCCAGCCCTGACCGGGAGTGTTGCCCTCCCTTAATTAGCAGGTGTCACTGCTCAGGCAGGTTTGCCTGCAACAGAGCATCATGGTGTTTCAACATCAGCCACTGCGGCTCCTCCCTCCCTGCCTGGGCTGGGTTTCCCACTCTGCTCTAAGACAAGGCTGCAGAAGTAGACACGCATGCGAGTTCTTGGAGCCATGGAGCTCCAAGCCCCAGCTGAGTGTTTCATTCTGACAGCAACAGGAATCATAATAAATAGAAGTATGCATGAGAAAAACAGCATAAAAATTCTTT